CCAGGGGGTGGGGCCTTTCGCCTTCATCCTGGGGTGTGGTGCTGATGTCGAACCCTGTGCCCGGGGTGGGCAAGGGGTGGGACTGGCAGCACACAGCGCCCCTGGCTGTGCGGGTCCAGGGTGGGATCTGGGCTCGATGCTCAGGGCAGGGAGTCCTGGACTGAGCTCCTGAGTGAAGACCTCACCAGTGCCTGGGCTTTTCTCTCCTTCCGTTACGTCCGTGGCCGTGGCCTCAGCTTGGCGTGGTCTGTGGTGGTGAGGCCTTTCCTCCGCAGGAAGGGCAGGAAGAATTCTGGCGAGAACTCTTGGTCCATGCGCCCAGCCTCTCTCCTGTGTCACTTCAGGGCAAGTCGCTGGGCACACACAGAGGGCGCCCGTGTGGTTGCTGGGCAGCCGAGCAGTCTGAGGGCTGTTGTCAGGGAATCTGTGGGAAGGGTCTTGTCAGCCCTCCTTGGTCGCAGCTGTGCCCTGGAGCTGCACAGCGCACTCCGGTCCTGCGGCACCCTTGCTCCTGTCCTAGCCCTGCCGTGAGCTGCGTGGACTTGGGCCAGGCCCTTTGGGGACCATGGATTCAAGGTCAAGTCTAAAGATGCTCTGGCAACTGGGCGCTGTGGGGCGACACTACAGAGAAGCGGGGCCACTGGCTGCTGTGGGACAGTGCGGCTCTGGAGCCTGCTCCGCTGTGAGGCCCTTCCCGGCTGTCGCAGTGCAGTGTGCCGGGCTGAGGGGCGCTGCACGGTGACCACCGGAGTGCTCAGCACCCCACACCTGGAGCAAGGTCCTGCTGGGCTGTCCTGCTGGTCTTCTGGCCAGCTGCTTGCGATGGTGGGAAGGGGCTGCTATGCCCGCTGTCTCATCTGCAGGGGCGTCCTACTTCTGGGAGAGACTCCTTCCCTCCCACCGTCTGGCCCCCCGGGCAGGTTCTCTGCAGAGGCTGCCTCTGCCCAAAAGGGAGGTCCTGTGGCCCCTTCCTGCTTCTCCGCAGTGACAGAGGTGTTCCTGCATTGGCGATCATTCGCCAGAGGGCCCTGCGTCGCCTGGGTTTGGGGTTTTCCTTGTCACCTAGTGCCACTGTCTGCTGTCTGGGTTGTAAGCCACAGGAGCTGGAGGCTGGCTGGCTGGCAGGGTATTTTTAGCTGTGGTTTTGTCTTGCGAGTACCTCCTTTGTCGCAGGGCCCGCGCTCGGGTCAGAGTTGGTGCCCAGCGTGGGCGGAGCCCAGCCCTCCTTCCTGGTGATTCATTGCCCTGTCGTGTTTCTTGCAGTTATGTTTCATTTGAGCAGAAAACATTCCCTGGGAGCCAGATGAATCACAGGTATGAAGATGGGAAGGCGCTATCAAAGCGTTGACTCAGCACCCCCTGCCTGAGAAAGATTACTTGCAGAAACGTCATTTGCCCTTTTCTCCTCTCCTTTGCAGCATGACATTATTTTAGGGGTCCACGTAATAGTCATTCTTAACATGAGTGCCACGCAAAAGCCACCGTGGGTGGATTTGACCTTTGCCGCAGCCCTGTGCATCCGCTTCTGCCCTCCCACGGACAGTGGCCCTGCCCAGAGCGCAGGGGGCAGTTCCCCATCCCAGCAGTGCGCCCTGTGTCCCTGTCACGTGCCTTTGGAGTAGCTTCTGCTCCCACCAAGCACAGGAGTCCAGAGATAGTTTGCGGTGGCCGTTGCTGTGTGGTCCGAGGGCTGTGAGCCTGGGGTCTGTCTCTGTTGCTCGGATCTCTCCAGGCTTTTCTGAACCCCGAGGGTCAAGCAGAGATGTCCCCTCTCTGGGTGGGTGCGTGGGTGGGTGGTGCCTGCTGGACCTCGACCGAGATGGGAGGTCTGGGAGGGGACTGGCATACAGTGTGCCTTTCCAGCCCAGGCCTGCCCCAGGGCCCAGGGGACAGATGGGGAGCTGGGCCGCAGATGCAGAGTCACCTGTGCAAGACCCCCTTCCTGAAGTGGAGTTGGATTCAGACTCCTGGTCTGTGGGTCATGAACCTCCACGCGGAAGGGGCCCATGCTTGGTAGGCTCTGGCTATCTGGAATTCCTAAACCATGCTTGGACAGGGAGCCCCAAGAATGCTGCCCATCCTCTTGCCACCTGGCTGGGCAGGTCTCCTCCAGTACCCTCTGCTCCTGACCCTTACTCCCCTCTGTCCCAAGGGCACCTGTGAGCCTCTGCCTTCCAGCTGGGTCCCACCGGTGACTACAAGGTTCATGCTGCCCTTTCCCAGGATGGGACTAAGGGTCTCACCCTGCCTGCCCTCCACGCTGGTCTTGAGAATGGAGTTAGGCCGCCCGAGCCATCATGCTGGTGTGTTTTGTGAATATTTATTTGCACACGTGGCCTCTCTTTTTGGGTTCCTGCTAATTTTGACCTGGTGGTGAAGGTGCTGTCATTATACTATATTTGGTCGTGTTAAGAAAAAACCATAGGCCGGGTGTGGTGGCTCACGCCTGTAATCCTAGCACTCTGGGAGGCCGAGGCGGGAGGATTGCTTGAGGTCAGGAGTTTGAGACCAGCCTGAGCAAGAGCGAGACCCTGTCTCTACTGTAAATGGAAAGAAATAAGCCAAACAACTAAAAATAGAAAAAATTAGCCAGGCACGGCAGTGCGTGCCTGTAGTCCCAGCTACCCAGGAGGCTGAGGCAGGAGGACCGCTTGAGCCTAGGAGTTTGAGGTTGTTGTGAGCTAGGCTGATGCCACGGCACTCTAGCCCGGGCAAGAGAGTGAGACTCTGTCTCAAAAAAAAGAAAAAGAACAAACCATAAATTGGTTACTTTTGTGCCTGCCAGAAGAGTTCCTCCTTAATTAGCTTAACCGTGGACTTAGAGGGTGTAACTCGACTTAAAGCAATCAAAGGCCCGGCGTGTAATCCTAGCACTCTGGGAGGCTGAGGCAGGAGGATTGCTTGAGGGCAGGAGCTTGAGGCTGCAGTGAGCTATGATGATGCCACGGTACTTTACCCGGGATGACAGAACAAGACTCTGTTTCAGAAAAAAAAAAAAAGCAATCAAGAAGGAAAGTTTGGCCAGGGGTGGTAGTTTTAGGAAGCAAGTGGGATTGCTTGAGCCCAGGAGTTTGAGACCAGCCTGGGCAACATATTGAGACCCTATCTCTACAAAAAGTAAGAAAAATCACTGTTTCTATGAAAAATAGAAGAATTAGCAGGGCACGGTAGCACCTGTAGTCCCAGCTACTCAGGAGGCTGAGGCAGGAGGATCGCTTGAGCCCAGGAGTTGGAAGCTGCGGTGAGCTATGATGACGCCACTACACTTCAGCCTGGGAGACAGCAAGACCCTGTCTCTGGAAAAAAAATAAATAAAAAGTTTGTTACAAGGTCATGTTATAACATCCGAGCAGGACTGGGGGGTGGCTCAGGGGCCTCCTGCCTCTGCCCCTGCCCCCACTGTGTGTCTCTGGCCTGGCTGGGCGTCAGGGAGCTTGCCGTTTACATCCTTGCCTGGCGTGGCCGGCGTGGGAGCCCTGGTGTGGCTCCCCCGTGTAGTAAGGCATAATTTTGAGGCATAATTCACACACTGTACAATTCATACCCTTTAAAGCATACAGTTCACTGGCTTGTAGTATATTCACATAGTTGCGTAACAATTACCACAATCAGTTTTAGGACGTTTTTATCTACATGAAGAAGCCCCATCCCCATCAGCAGTCACTCCCCACCCCCTCCCCCAGCCCCTGGTACCCACGAATCCACATCCCGTCTCTGTGGTTTTGCCTGTTCTGGACGTTTCATACAAATGGAATCTCACACTGTGTGTCGTTCTGTGTCTGGCGTCTCTCAGATGTAGGTGCCATGGTTAGGAATGTGGGGGCCCAGCACCTCCTGGTCTGGATGGATTGGGCATGTCCATTGCCATAAGTAGCTGGGGAAATGTGGTTGTCTGTGGTCCTTGGGAGGGGGAAGGGGAGGAAGCCCCAGGCCGTAATCTCCAGACTGGGGCCTGTGGGTGGGGTCCCACCACCTAATAAGGGGTGAGGAACAGCAGCCCCTGCTCTTCCTGTCCGTCTGCCGTTCTGTCGGCATAGTCCCCATGCATACAAATGCTCACGTGTGCACTGGCAGGAAACTATCTCTGTTTCTTTTCTTTTCTTTTTTTTTCCTGGAGACGGGTCTCCCTGTGTCGCCCAGGCTGGAGTGCAGTGGTGTCATCACAGCTCATTCCAGCCTCCAACTCCTGGGCTCAAGTGATCCTCCTGCCTTAGCCTCCTAAGTAGCTGGGACTACAGACATGTGCCATGGCGCCCAGCTAATTTTTTCTATTTTTGGTAGACGTGGGGTCTTGCTCTTGTTCAGGCTGGTCTCGAACTCTTGAGCTGAAGCAATCTTCCTGCCTTGGCCTCCCAGAGTGCTGGGATCACGGGCGTGAGCTGCTGCGCCTGGCCGCGGTCTCTATTTCTAACTGATGGCTGTTCAGTCAGGCTTGCCAATCCCTGCAGAGTGACAGACCTGCCTGTGGCGTGGGCCTTGGGAGTGGGGCAGCCGGCAGCCTTGTGCAGGGGGAGGGGTCTGGTTCTTGGGGCGTGACATGTTCCGCACGTGCGGGCCCTGTGGTTTTTACAGATGAGGAAACAGAGGTCCAGGAAGCTCAGTCACTTGCAGTCACGTGCTGGACGTGGGTGGATTTGGGCCTCCTAGGCCGTGGCTCCTGGGCTGGACAGGCCTCGGGGGGGTCGCAGTAGGCACGTGGAGGCGGGGCGAGGTGCGGGGAACCAGCCGCCTCAGGGAGAACGCGGGGAGAGCAGGCTGGCGGGAGCTGTAGACTCCACCCGGCCCTGTTCCCTCTTCCCTGGTGGGGGTGCAGCGTGCCAGGAACAGGTCCCGGAGTGTCCCTGGTGGTCCCTGCCTGGGAGGTGGGCTTGGGAGCCACATGAGTAGGAAACGAGAAGAGCCGATGGCATGGCCCACCTGGGAGGAAGGGTGGCCTCTCCTTGTCCAGGATCAACTCCAGGATCACACGGCCCGACAGCTCTGAAATGTCCTTTTCCTTTCCAGGACAAACATCATGATGCCGCTCACGAGATCATCGAGACCATCCGGTGAGTCCCGGCACCCGCTGGGCGCGCGAGGGGCGCTCGTGGGCAGGGGTGTCTGTAGAACCGCCTGTCTGTGCGCCCGGCTGACCGGTTATGGTCGGCATCCTCTGGGCGCGCTCACACCAGGACACCGCCTGTGTCCTCGTCCCCTGTGCGCTCTCGGCGTGCTCCCCCGCCTGGCCTGCCCTCGGGGTGTGCGCCCACATGTGTGACAGCCCCACCGTGGTTTTCCCTTTATGCCACTAAGGAACAAATCTCAGCGATTAATGTGAGAATGTCAGGTGACTTTTCCTTCCCGGGTGAACCCCCTGGGCCGCAGTGTGCTGAATTCCACTTGCCAACACCTTTAACGGAGTTTGTGTCTGTGTTCATGGTGGATGTCGGTCTGTAGGGTCGTTTCTTGTAATGACGTTGACTTCGCAACCCTTTGTCTCTCCCTGGTTTGGTGTCGGGATGATGCTGGCCTCATGAAGCTCTGAGCAAGTTTTTGTGGGGTTGGTGTCACGCCTTAAATGTTTGGTAAACTCCATCTCTGGGCCTGGAGCTTTCTTTGTGGGAAGGAACTTGTTTAGGAAAATGGAGCTGGGTGTGGTGGTGCCTGCAGTCCCAGCTACTTTGGGAGGCTGAAGCAGGAGGATCACTTAAGCCTAGGAGTTGGAGGCTGCTGTGAGCTGTGATGACTCCACTGCACTGCAGCCTGGGCCACAGAACAAGACCCCGTCTCAAAAAAAAAAAAAAAAAAAAAAAGGAAATAAAGTTCTTTAATAGGTGTAGGGGTATTAGGACCTTCTGTTTCTTCTTATATCCGTTTTGATAATTTTGACCTTCAAGGAATTTGCTAGTTCCATCTGAGTTGTTGGGGTTGTTGGCTTGCCATTTCTCGTACTATCCCCTGTTTCCCTCTTACTGTCTGTGAGACCTATAGTGATGACCCTCCTTTTGTGGTTTCATCTGAGGGTGTGTCCGGACCTGAGCGAGGTTTACACGAGTGATGGGTTGGTGTTTTCCCGTCTCTTAATCTGGGCGTCCCTCTCCATCTCGCTTTTCCTTGCAGTGTGTGTGTTGAAGAAGCTCCCGTGTGTTTTGGGATTAGCGAATTCTTCAAATAATACTTCTCTTTAGTTTCTAGTCGATACGTTGCTTTTCTGGCTCAGCTTTGAGCCGCTTGGTTCCCTACTAACCCTGTAACACGGGAGTTCATTCAGCTGCCGACAGCCACCATCGTTCGACTTCAGAGCCACATAAAATCTGTGTGAGTCGCAACTTCACCATAAACTTTCCAGCAGTTCTGAAATAATTCCTCCCTTTTCTCCTTCACAGCTAGAGTTGAGTAATGGGGGTTTGTGTGTTTATATCTGAGAGTCAACAACGTTTAAGAAAGTTGAATGTGGAAAACGGAGCCTGAGCGTTGACGTTCACTGTCCTTTTGCGTTTCTGTTCCAGATGGGTCTGTGAAGAAATCCCGGATCTCAAGCTCGCCATGGAGAACTACGTGTTGATAGACTATGACACCAAAAGGTGGGCGGGGCTCTGCCGAGCTGCCCCTCCCCTGGGGACAGGCTCCACGCTCAGGGGACACAGCCTATAATTAGCTCTTCTTAGATAGTACAAGCCGATCCGAAATTTCCTTTTAGAGTTGGCTGTAGCTGCCATAAAGTTATTTTGGGAGGAAATGTTTATCAACTATTGGCAAAGGCTGTCGGAGCGAGGACATAATTGGAAACTGCACACTGTGGAAACTTGAGTTGCTGTGTGTGAAATCACCCGAGTTAGCAAGCGCTCTTTTTATAGCAGGCGGCTGACTGCCAGAAGTCCGCGCTCCCGCCCAGAGCCGTGCCGCCGGGCTGGCCTGGGAGGCTCGGGCGCAGCCCTGTTCAGGTCACAGTTAGGTTTGGTGAGTAACTGTGTCTTCAGCCCTGCGGCCGCTTCTAGCAGTTTCTTCCCGGCATCTCCTGGGTCTCAGAGGAGAGTCTAGTGGGTGGAGACGGGCAAGGCCGTCTGTGGAATGCCTGCCTGGGATTGTTTTGTTTTTCTTTGTGAAAGAAGGAGGACATTACAGGCTCTTGCCTGTTTCAGCCCTCCAGAGGCTGCAAGTGGACAGGGCAGTCCTCCCTCGGGCTGTGTCATCCCGAGCTTAGGTCACTCCCTCCGACAGAGGGTCAAGCCCAAAGTAGCCCTGAAGCCCCCGTGCACCCAGCACGTGGGTGGATTTACCTCATTTGCGTTTCACTGTTACACATGGAGGGAACTTTGTTTCTGGTCTGCGGCTTCAGGCTCCATATACCCAGCTCTTGTTCCCCTGGCCTCGAGCCTCTCCCCATCCCATAATCTTCACTCTGGTTCTTAATCAGCAAGAAGAGAGTCAGATTGTGTTCAGGTACAGCCACAGCATCAGGGGACACTGTCACCTTCACTGGTTAGTTACAGAGGCTGTGAGGCAGATACGGCCCAGCACGAGGCCTGCAGCCAGGTCTGGAAGGCCCTGAGCCCAGGAGCTCTGTCCCTGTGGGGTTGGGGAGCCACCCTCCTGGCACGAGGATGTGGTCGCCAGTCTGGCGCTCTCCTGGCCCTGTCCTTGCCCAGGTGTAATTGTTAACTCAGTCTCTGCTGATCACAGCTCGAGCTTTCTGGTGACCAGCCCTGTTGATTTCCCTGTCACCTAGGAAGCTCCCAGGGATTAGGGATTCTGTGTCAGGACACAGGGACGGAGGCCAGACACACATTTCTTATGCCACAGTGTCCACAGCCTCTAGGGAGGGTGGGCATCCAGTCGGGCTGGCCCCTCTCGTGCTGGTCCCAAGGTCGGCTAAGTGCCTGTCACTCGTGCTGGCCACACGTGCGCCTGGCCCTGAGCCACGAGGGTGTCAGCTGCTCTGCTGGCAGCAGCCGTGCTCCGGGCGTGGGTGTCCTTCCTCTCCAAGTTCGAGCCACTTAGGGAGTCAGAGAAGGCTGGAAGGACGTCAGAGCTGGAGAGGGGAATGGGGCGATCTCTTGGCATCTTCCCGAGGGACTGGTGTGACCTTGTGTTGGTGCACAGTGGGAGGTCCTGGTTCTCTCTCCACACCTCCCGTCTGAGCGAGGAGCCAAGTGTCAGCCCTCAGTTCCTCTGAGCGTCTGCATTTGCACGTCCTCCAGGAGAGGCTTCCAGGGAGTATGTAGAGGTTTTGGGTGGGTTTCAGGTGTCAAGGTCAAAGGCTAGATGTAAAAGTTTGAATATGAGGAAATGAAAATGTAAAATGGTGTTGCATTTATTCCTTTTCTTCCTGAGAAATGCGTGAGAAAACATGAGCCAGAGATTTAGGTCTGTTGTTTAATCCGGGAGGCAGGCTGGGGAGGGTGAGCACATGGCTGCACACAGCAGGGCTCTGCTGCCCTGCCTCCCCAGCCCCACAGGTGTCCCGAGTCCCTGGAGCGCCGTCGTGCGGCCTTCACTCCGGGATTTCGATTTCAGGGTGCTGTCTTGTTCGCTGCTCCTGAATTCTTGTGCTTGTTCACCTGCACCTGCTGTTTAAGGAGACCGGGATTTGTCCCGTTGAGTACTAGTCTTCTGTTAGGAAGGGAAAATGGGGAACACGGCCATGCAGAGCAGTTGCCCCGGTTATTTAGGGCAAGGAGGGGGCTGGGCGGCCGGGGGCTCCCCTCGACTTCCTCCTTCTGTGTTTAACACATAGTACTTGTATGTTTGGACGTGTCAGAGCTTTTTAAAAGGTTTTGTGCACAGAAACAATGGTGCCCTCTCCCTCCTGCAGGGCTGGGCTGTCCCGGTGCCTAGTCCTGGCTGTCCAGGTAGAGGGAGGCCTACTGGCCTTGGCCCAGCATCCTGACCTGGGTGAGGTGGTGGCTCTCTCCAGCCAGGGAAGGGAAGGATCCCGGGCCGGGTCCGTCCACACGTGGCTGGGCGCAGAGAGGGAGGGCCCACACTAAGGCCTGCTTGGTGCCCTTGGCCGTGGGTTTGACCTGTGAGCTCAGGCTGTCCAGGCGGTGGTGTCTATGCCTGTGCGTTGGCCGCGGGTTTCCCCTCGTTGGGTCGGAAGTGAGGCTCCTGCCCGAGGGTTGTGGTGGTTGGTAGCTGTCGTGGGCACCTGGCCCCGTCCAACCCTGCCTGGTGTGGGGCTGTGCCCTCCCTGGGAAGGTCCTGGGGCTGTGCTGAGCTTCCAGTGACTGGCGTCTTCCCTTGCCTTTTCCAGCTTCGAGAGCATGCAGAGGCTCTGTGACAAGTACAACCGGGCCATCGACAGTATCCACCAGCTGGTAGGTGGCCTTGCCCTCTTGGCCTGTCCCTTGTGTGGGTGCATTCACGCCTCTGGTCCGCGTCCCCTGGGTGGGTCTTCACAGTGCTGGCCCCGGACCCCTCCAGACCACTTAAGTCACCACCTGGCAGCTCTGGGGGCCCCTCGAGAACCCCAGGATTGAATGTGCAGGTAGGGTGAACCACTGCCGTCGCAACAGCGTGGCCTGGGGTGTCCTCGGCCAGCCACAAGCTGGGGGCTGCTTGCTGGGTGGGAGCTGGTTGTGGTTTGCTGAGGCCCCTCCCTGGGAGATACCATGTTTGCACACGCCTGCACTCCCTCGCCCTGTCCCCTGGGCAGTGGCAGGGGTGGGTGGCCGGCAGCTGCTCCGGGCTGTGTGGAGACCTACCTTTAGCTGGCCCTGAGGGGAGTGTCCTTGATTCTGGCGCCAGTGTCTTGTGAGGCCCCCGCACAAAGGACAGACGGGCAGAGTGTGCTGTGGACGCAGTGGCGCTCCCTGCTAGCACGTGCAAGATCCCTGGCGTGGGAGTCTTGGGCAGGCGTTGGGTATGGGGGGTTGCGGTGACGGGAGGCTTCTCCTGGAGGCCCTTGCTGTGTGGGGCTGGGTGGGGACCACTCTGAGCCCGAAGCAAGAGCCGCCCCTCGGAGCTCTCAGGACGAGGTTGGCCTGGGTGCACGTTGGTGATTACCTTCCCCCCTGTTGCTGGTGGAATTGGGGGGCAGGGGGCGGGCAGGCAGACAGTTCAGTTGAAGGAAGTACGGGGCAGGCTGGGGGCCTCATGTGGCTCATGGCGCCGGGAGGCCTGAGACAGTCCTGTGGTGTCAGCCCTCGCCCTACTGCCTGGGCCAGAGGCCTGCTTTGCTCTGAGGCCGATGTGGGCCGTGCACAGGGGTCTGCCCAGCCCCTCCCCCTGCAGAGCTGAGGCCTGGTCCCCAGGTGTGGACCCTGCATGGGGAGCTGTCCCGCCTGTCACCGCAGGCCAGTCTGAGGGGCGTGGTGTTGGTGAGCAGCGCTGGATCAGACGGGTCCAGGAGGGGGCTGTGTGCAGAGCCTCGTGTGCTGTCCTTATGGAGCGTCAGCGCCATCCTTAGAGCGACTTCTCGGGCCTGGGGGTTCTGGGCGGCTAAGAAGGCTCCAGTGTGCCAGGCCCCAGGCTGCCTTGCTCAGAAGGGAGCCCCTGTGGGGGCCGGCCAAGCTGTTGGGACGGGTGGGCCGTCTTGGTTCCCTAACCTTGGAGCCAGAAGTTCTGGCACTTTCTGGGGTCCTTGGCTAATTTCTTCTCCCTAATAGATTTTTGGTGACAGGCGGCCTCTCTGAGGTCGGGAAGCCAGTCTGTGAGGCTGCACAGACCCTGTTGTCTGGTGAAGAGGCACGTGTGTTTCACTTGGCCCGGGCAGCGAGTGCACAGGGGTCTCGCCTGGAAGGGGGGAGGCCGGAGCAGCAGCAGGCTCCGGGGCCCAGGCCGCAGGTCGGGCTCTACCGCAGGCTGAGCCTTTCACAGGAAGTGGGTGCCGGGTTAGAGAGTGACCTGTGCAGCAAGTGCCCGGCGGCAGGTTGCCAGGCCAGGAGAGGCAGAAGGAATTGTCCCGGCCCTCGTGTCCCAGCTGCAGGTTAGAACTGAGAAAGGGTGGGTGTGCACACACGAGCCCACACCCTCACTCATGCACACGCATGCTCGTGTGCACGGTTTCCCAACTGGGGAAAGTACCCAGGTCTCATTGTGGAGGGGCTGCCTGTGGCCTGTGTGACGTGTCCCTGTTCCTTCCTGTCCCCAGTGGAAGGGCACCACCCAGCCCATGAAGCTGAACACGCGGCCGTCCAACGGGCTCCTGCGGCACGTCCTGCAGCAGGTCTACAACCACTCGGTGACCGACCCAGAGAAGCTCAACAACTACGAGCCCTTCTCGCCCGAGGTGTATGGGGAGACGTCCTTCGACCTGGTGGCCCAGATGATTGACGAGATCAAGATGACCGAGGACGACCTGTTCGTGGACTTGGGGAGCGGTGAGTGTTGGCGCCCGTGGCTGGGGTTCGCTCTCCCAGGCCACGCTCTCGGTGCCTGCGTGCCATCCTCGGGGAGGAGTTTCAGCTGGAGAAGGGCTGAGGCTCGTGGCATCTCACGCTGAGGGCTTCCATGTCCCCAGCCGCGGCCCGAGCCTGTAGCCGACCTGCCTCGGCCCTTTGGGGAGCAGCCCGGCTCACGGTCCGCAGACGTGCACGCGGTGGACACTCTTGCACTCAGTGAACTCGTTAGGCTGATTGATTCCTGACCAGACCCCCAGTGGGGGCCACAGTGCTGAGGGGGTGTCTGTTGGGGCCGCCCTGGAGCCATCCCCAGGCACCTCAGACCTCACCGGCCACCAGACCTGGAGCTCAGATGCGGAAACCCTGCCTCGGTTCCAGGGAAGGGGCCCAGAGACAGGGACGAAGGGGACTTCTTTGTGATGTCACCTTTACACTTCTTTTAAGTGGACAGTTGGTAACTGATGTGCCATTAAGAACGCACGTCTGTAGTTCCAAAGTCAGTATCTTTCCATATAGCCCTGCAAAGCTGTGCGATTCATACGTGTCTGTGGTCTCTGTCCCTCCCTGCTGTATCAGAACACTGGAGCCTGGGTGACGCGTAAACAGGAGACATTTATTCTCACAGTTCTCGGGGCTGGAGGTCCACGGTCAAGGCTCTGGCAGGGTCAGTGTCTGGCAGGAGCCGAGACCCAGCTTCTGAGACGGTGCTGCCTGTCGTGTCCTCACAGGGCAGAGGGCTGTGGCCCGGTCACTTCCTGGGACCCCACCTCTTACTCCTGTTGCCCTGGGGCTTTGTAGCATCTCCTCAGGCTCATCCTTTCTGGATGAGATCCCAGTGTCCTCAGGCCACCATTGCGTGTGTTTCTAATTAGCATGTTAATGGGTGTTCACATTCAACACGGAAAGTGAAGTGGCTCAGGCCTTCAGGAGGAGTGAGGGTTGCGCAGGCCCCGCTGCCCCGACGGCACCAGTCTGCAGGCCCGGCCCTTGCCTTCTGGCCCAGACCACCTAGCCATGTGGGTGCTGTGGTTGGGGGCTCCGTTCCGGCTTGCGGGGTCCTCTGCTGCCCCCCAGCCCTGCTCGGGCCTCGGCCAGCTCCCGTTGAGCTTTCTGGAGGCACTTGGATCTGGTTAGCCGCGATGCTGCCTGCCCTGCACTGCAGTGGTAGCCTGGAGGGTAACTTGGGGTGTTGAGAAGACCCCCAGGCTGCTGAACCTCCAGGAACCGAGCCTGAGTCTGAACAGTGACTCAGTCTGAACAGCGGGGCCCTCAGACTGAGACCAGATTCCAGTTTTGGGGCTATGGTGTGATGTCCATGGGAGACAGGACGTGCCAGGTGCCCTTGTGGCTCTGTCGGGCCTGGCTCCTCGGAAGCATCCTAAGTGACCCCAGAGGGCATCCTATGGCCTCCCTATTGGCTTCAGTGCCGTGTCCTGCAGCTCATGCCCCGACTCCAGCGTGGGCCTCCCCGGGTGGTGTCCCAGGCGGGCTTAGCCTCTTTCCTGGGCACTGTGCATGTCTGACGCACAGCGTCTCTCTCTGATGGAAGGTGTGGGCCAGGTCGTACTCCAGGTTGCTGCAGCCACCAACTGCAAGCATCACTATGGCGTCGAGAAAGCGGACATCCCAGCCAAGTACGCGGAGGTGAGCGGTCCTGGGGGTGTGTGTTGGAGGTGGGGGCTGCTCAGAGGAGGCGAGCACCCTGGGTGGGCTTCTTTCCTGTATGATGGTGTTTCTGGGCCTGGAAGGTTTGGCTAAATCAAGGGAGGCCTGTGTGTGCAGCACCTCTAGCCTCCCAGCAGGTATAGGTGGAAGCCCTGGTGGAGTCCCTGTGCCCTCGGGGTCGTGGAGCGGCCTGTGGCGGAGATGACTTGGTTCCGCCCCTGGCACAGCCCCTCTAGGCAGCCCTCCTAGGCTGATGCGGCCCTCACCTGACTCTGGTCCCTGCTGGGGCGCTGGCCTCCCTGCTGTCCCTGCAGCTGTTGTCCTGGGTCTGCCCAGGTTTGGGGGGCAGTGGTCTCCCTGCCACAGAATGTGGTTGGAGTTTGGAGCGTGCTGTGGAGTCAGGAGCTTGGGTGGGCCCCATGTCGCCCCTCCTGGCTGTGTGTCCCCAGGGGCCCCCACCTGTCTGTTCAGCCTGTCCCCGTGGGCCTTGTGGGCCGTGGGCGTGTGGAGGGCCTGGCTGGCCGGGTCTGTGACAGGCTTTGGTTTCTCCCCCTGCAGACCATGGACCGAGAGTTCAGGAAGTGGATGAAATGGTATGGAAAAAAGCATGCAGAATACACAGTGAGTGCCATCGCGCCATGCCCGCGGCTACAACGCCAGCGCCAGCCTCCTTTCCTCCTCTCCCTCACCCTCCTTTTTGCTGTGTGGACACGTGGCACTCCCTTCTGAATCTCATGGGGCCACCTGGCTCCCGTGTGGGGCTGGCACTGGGAGCCTCTGTTGGCGCCTTCCCTTCCCTCCCTCTGGCGGGAGCCTCTGTGTCCACCAAGGGCATGTGGTGAACACAAGCCGCGTGAAGGACAAGGGACTTGTGGTTCCGTGGCACAGAGGCCTTGGAGACGGGTCGGGCCCATCGGCTCTGGGGCAGCTCTAGGGTCACCTGGGAGGCCTTGGCTTCTCCCCTCGCCCGTCCTCACTCACGCCCCCTCGTGGAGGGCTCCAGCCTCCCCACTGACAAGGTGGTAGGCGTGGCACTGGCGGGGTTCCCTCCCGGCCCTTACGCGACGTGGTCTCAGGAGTGCTTGGGCTCCCCCGATGACCCTCCCCTGGGAGCTGTGCGTGCGTGGCCTTGCACGTGGGTGCCAGCGTCAGTGGAACGCGCTGGGGGTGGGAAGGGGATGCTTCTTAGGCAACAGGAAGGATGGTTCTTCTGATTCAGGCGGTTCAATATTTAGACAGTGCTTGTGAGAGTAGTGGCTCCTCCATTGTCCTCTTGGGGCGTCTTCCTGCTCCGTGCTGTTCCCCTCAGACACCAGAGCCAGCGTCGCGTCCGCACACACAGCCGTGGCCATGACAGGCGCTGGTCCCAGGGGCAGCACCCTAGGTGTGCGTGACATGGTGTGTCCGCTCCGGCATCCTCACACGTGCCTGGCCCACAGAGCGCGTCAGCCCGGGTCCCCCTCCTCAGCGGCCTCAGTCATCCCAGCGCCATGGGCCGTGGTTGGGGCCGGATCTCTGAGGTCCCCCTGGCCCTGCACGGCCCCCTCCTCTCCCTGTCGGGGCAGCGTGGGGTGCTGACTGGAGCTGGACCCAGGGTGTTGGGGGCAGGGGGAGACTGCTTCCCACGCCCCAGACCGAGAAGGAGCCACAAGCGCAGGGTGGCCATCGGGGCCCTGCCCGCCGCCCGATTCAGGAAGAGGTCCCTCCTGACCAGGCAGGAGCTGTGGGGCCAGGAGCAGTGAGTTCTGATAGGACAAGTGTGGTGGCTCGAGGGTCAGTAAACCCCACAGGGAGTGCGTGACGGGACACGCCGAGGCCGACTGCTTGTCCTGGGTGCTGGTGCTGACGCAGCTGTGGGTTGAAGTTTGCTTGTTTCGGAGTCTGGCCGTGGCAGGCTTGCACATGTGGGGCTGGGGCCCAGCTGCCCTTCCCTTCTCTTGGCGAAAGGCTCTTCCAGAATCTCCCCCCAGCAGAAGGCGCGTGTTGGTTTCTGTCCCCGATGTCTCTGGCTGTTCTTCAGGGTGACCACGCAGTGACCCATTTGGGTGGTTCTGCTAGCCTGCTGCGTGTGTCCGCTCGCACTCGGGCTAGAGGCTCCCTGAGGCTTCACGCACCTGGGAGGGAGAGCCACGCGGTTCCAAGTGCAGCGTGGACGGAGGAGGAGGCAGGAGGGTGGAGTGTCGGCAGTGGGGCTGCCCTGGGCGGTCGTTTCTCTTTCCTTCTTCCACGTCTCTGTTGTTGGCAGTGGCAGTGCCTGGTCTGCTAGGTTTGGGGTCAGCGAGGCAGCTGCGAGTGGTGTCTCATGTGGCACGCAGGAGGCACTCCTTGTACTGCCTTTGCGCAGGTGAGGGTGTCATGGTCGTGTCAGTGGCTCCTGAGATGTGGCTGGGAGTGGGATTCGCGGAAAAGTATGCCTTTCCTTATGGCCTTGGTGATGGTGTCCGGATGACCCACTGCAGGGATGTGGCGGCCCCTGTGCCATCCTGTGCCCCAGCATCGGTCCTCGGCTTCCGAGAGCACCCGTGTCACGGCCAGCTCTGCCGTCAGTCACACAGCCTTAGCCTGTTTCAGCGCCCTTTTTGGCGGGAACTTGGGTCCTGAAATTCGAAAAACCCCTCCCTGCAGCTTCCTGTGGCTTTGACTAGGCGCCCTGGTTGGCATGCTCGAGTCCTGCCTTCCGTTCCTCAAGAAGCAAAGAGGAAAACCAGGAGCCTAAAAATAGCGCGGTGACTTTTTCCAGGCCCAGAGCCTGCTTCTGGGCCTAGGAGTGCTCACTACCCCACCACAGAGGCTGGCATGGACCGGGCCAGCAAGGACTGGGCCAACGCTGCCGGCTGCCACCAACTCTGCCCTGGTCCCTCTGCCCGGGCAGGGGTCACTGACCCTCCTGGGGCCTGGAACCAGCCCCCAGGCAGAAACTAGGCCAGGCTCAGCTCTGTGCTATTGGTGCCTTGCAGTGGTTTCTCGCGTCCGGAGTGTGAGCCGAGCTAGCGGCACCTCGGGTGGCTGTGGCGTCACTGAAGTACCGTGTGAGGAAGGCCCACGGCTGCAGGTGGAGCCGCCTCTGCAGAGGCTCTTCCTGGTACCCTGTAAGATTCTCTGCCACCCTCCAGGGACGTGTGTCAAGACCATGATGGGGCTGGCCCCAAGATAGAGTGGCTGCCCCGACAGGATAGTTGGCCGGGGCTATGTTTGAGGGCCTGGCGCATCCCGGCCTGGGATGTGTCCACCGTGGCCTCCCTGGGCGTCAGGCTGGGCAGAGACCGCTCTGGTGATGGCACCAGGCCGCTCGGCACGTTGGGAGGACGACAGGGCTGCAGAGGTCCACGGCCTCCCTGGAGGTGCCACCCCCAGTGTTTGTAGGGGCAGTTTAGGCCCAGCAGCCCCTGTGGTCAACCAGGTGGGGCCCGTCCAGGTTCCCAGACGCCCCGAGGGCTGCCTCGCTGGCTCCTTCTGAGGATATAGCCTGCGCTGCCATCAGGGACTGTGGACCTGAGTCTCCAGGCCTGGTGGCTTATCTGGGGTGCCAGGGACATGAAGGGGCTGCTCAGGGTGGAGGGAGGCAGAGTCGGGGACACGGGGGCCTGGGGATGTGGGGGCGTCCCAGCACCCAAGGCTCAGGGTGATCACCTGTCCTTTCTACCTCACGCCCTGTCCCTTCCATCTGTGGGTGGCCTCTCGGAAGACATATGGCTGCTATTGGCCGGGTGGATGGTCTCGTCACAGTGGGGCGGCCGCCTGCTTGTGGGGTCGTTTCTGCTCAGAGTCTTCCTGCCTGTCCGACAGATGCTCTGGGCTGGGCACCAGGCCTGCGGTGCCATGCAAGGCGGGCGTCCTGGTTACCTCATGGCCCCCAGGGGTGCCATTGTGGGCCTCAGTTGTGACACGTAAGCTGGTACTCCTCATCCTCCCCGCCCCAGCACCCACAAATCCACGTCCCATCTCTGGATCTGCCTGTTCTGGACGTTTCCTATAAATGGAGTCTCACACTGTGTGTCCTTCTGTGTCTGGCATCTCTCACCGAGCATAATGTCCTCAAGGTCCATCCATGCTGCAGCCTGTGTCAGAGCCTTGTCCCTTTTAGTGGCTGAGTGATATTTCCACGTGTGGATGGGCCACGTGTGACGCTGGGCTGTTTCCACCTGGCTGTTGTGAGTCATGTTGTCTATCAGAGGCATTTGTGTGCTGATTCCTGTGGATGTATTTTTATTTCTCTTGGGCGCAGATCTAGGAATGGAGAATGTGGTGTCTTTTTGAAGAAATACGTAACCGGATATGTCGGTTTTCTGAATGTTTTGGCTCTGGACGTAGGTTAATGAGAGGTGCTCTCCCCGACAGACCTTGGTCTGCGGAGTGTGGAGGACGTTAGTCTGTAACCAGAGCCACTGCATAGCGGGCAGTCGCCTGGTAGAAACGGCTCTGTGTCCAGCAGGGACCCAGGGGCACATGCTGCAGGGACCCTCCCCTGCCCTCTGCCATCCACAGACGGTCCACCTTCTCCACCTGCGCATCTGTGGTCAGCTGAGAAGGAGGGAGCCACGTGCATGTGTCCTGTAGCCTGTTTGGGGTGTTGGTGCACCCCAGTACCACATTGCCTCCCTCAGGGTGGCTTGGGGTCAGCACAGTGGGGACCTCGGCACCCCTGCTGGCCGCCTCGTCCTGGGGTGCCCGGAGCCTCTGGGTTTGAGCTTCTGCAGGAAAGCGTGTGGGCAGGGCACTGGGGCTTCCAAGCGTGTACTTGTGCCCAGGCAGGCTCTGCCCTCTGCCTCGAGTGAGCGCTGGAGCGTTTGCCCACCTGGCTCTGCTGTGGACCCCTTGGTGGTCTTGCTGCACCCCTATTCGTCCCTCCACTGTCCCCTCCTGCCCTCAGAGCAGCCGCGGGTGGTGCCCTGGGCTCCCGCGTCCTTCCGTCGAGCGACCGTGTGCCTACTTCACTGTCCTTTGCGGGGCAGGGTGGGTCGGGCAGCGAAGCAGATAAGGCCTCGGGAATGAGCGCCACTACTGTCTTCTCTTGCAGTTGGAGAGAGGCGATTTTCTCTCGGAAGAGTGGAGAGAGCGCATCGCCAACACGAGGTACGCGGGCTATAGGGCACGGTGCCAGGGTGGGCGGTGGGCGTGGGGCCAGGCTCAGGGCAGGTCGGGGTCCCTGCGCTCCCCAGCCCCTCCTCACGCCAGGGTCTCCCTCTAAGGGTCAGCAGGGCAGAAACGCCCCTGCCCGTCACCCACCTTCGCAGTGGCGCTTGTCACCAGGCCCAGCCCCAAGCCCATGCGCAGGTTCTCACCCTATTGTCTCCTCTGCGCTGGGCTCCTTTGCTGCCCCCAAGCTGGGTCTGGGTGTTTCCTGTCTCCTCGTCCCTTGTCCCTCCCCCTTGAGCAGCCTGTGTCTGCCGCACCACCAGGCGGGCTGCTCTCAGCCCAGCTCCCATGCACCTCACCCAGAGGCCCCTGGTGCCAGCAGCTCATGGAGCCGAGTCTTGGGGTCCCCCCCACCCTACCCCATCTAGGTGCACCTGCCCATGTGGCGTGTGCTGCCCGCTGATGGTGTGAGTGGAGCATGGGGATCTCTCCCAGGTGGTACTGCCGGGATCTGCTCTGCTGTGCAGGCCTCCACACGGCCGGGCCTGCTGTGCCCATGGGCAGGTGTCCTGTCCTGTCTGCGGGATCCTGCTGCCCTGCGGGTGGCCCCATCCAGGGGGTTGGGAGTGCAGCAGGGTCCCTCCTGTGTGAGCTCCCCGAGACATCGGGCTTGCACTCATCAGCCGCGCTCAGGCTGTGGTTGCTCTCTGTGAACCCCTTAAGAAGCTGAGGGCTCTCCTGGCGTACTGTTGGCTTCCCAGTTCTAGTTCGTGTGGGCCTTGCTCCCTCGGCCTCAGGGACGGTGTCTCTGCTTGCCATCTGCCCTGTTGGTGGCTCTGTGGGCTCTGCCCTGCGGCCCGGGTCTGGCTTGCCCTTTCTGTGGGCAGAGCGTGAGTGGGCCTTGGCCATGAGAGGCAGCTCCAGAGGCCTGCTTCTTGGCTGGGGCATTGCCTGGTGTTCTTGTGGGGACCGATGGCTCCTTCCTTTGTCTGTAAAACGCAGCAGGGCGGTGGCTCTGGAGCTGGGTGTCCTGGGGCTTCCTTCTCTGCAAACACCAGTTCCTTAGGGTCTTTTCTGGCTCCCGCCCCCATCCTGTGGCCCCCTGAACTCACGGCTCTCACTCCCAGCCTGCCCCTGTGCAGTCCCTGGGGACACCACATCAGACGGGGACGGTGGGCCTAGCACCCCGGCCCGTGCGTGTCTGGTCTCCCAGTGGTGCCTGAGGATGCGTCCGCCTCGGCCCACACTCTGGCGTCTTGCCCCTCCTGTGGTGGAGGCAGGACAGGAGCCCTGCATGGCATTCCCGTCTCTGCTGCCTTCTGGGGCCGAGGCCCTTCTCGCTGTGCTGGGTACCTGGAGGGGTTGCTGGTGAATGTTTCCAGATTCTCGATTTTAAAACTGTCAGGATTCAAAACAAGCAGCTCACCGTTTTCTGCCCTGTTCCAAAGAGGAAGTGCTTCTCTCCTGCCTGCACTGGCAGTGCCTGATGTGGCGCTCACTGGGGACCCGCGGTTGCGACGGGCAGGCTGGGATGTGGGCAGAGCCTGGAACTGGCGGGCGGTCGCTGCAGACTGCACAGGATGCTTTGAGCCTGCGGAGACGGAGCCTTGGTCTTACTCAACTGGCACGTTGTTTTGCAGTGTTATATTTGTGAATAACTTTGCCTTTGGTCCTGAGGTGGATCACCAGCTGAAGGAGCGGTTCGCAAATATGAAGGAAGGTACGTGCCCCGCCCACCCCGCGTCTGCCTCGCGTTCCTTCCCGGAGTCCACAGTCCCAGGGTGCCTGGACGTGGCCCTGATGGGCGGTGGCCGCGGAGACCCTGGGCTTCTGCAGGAGCTGCCCTGGTGCCAGGCACCTCCCTGTGTTCCCTGTTCCACCGTCCGTTAGTTTGCATTGTCATGTTGGAGGTGAGTGCTGGACACTCCCCGCCCAGGCCTGGGGCCCTCACTGCGGGAAGGGCCTGAGCTCTGAGCTGGTGCTGCAGCTCTAGGGCGGCCTCCTGAGGCGGGAGACCAGCGCGATGGGTTCGCCCACGGTTTTGTAAAAATGGCAGGCAGGCGAGAGGCCACGGGCCCAGCAAGACCCAAATCTCCAGCTGGCTTTAGCACTGATGACTTATGTCCTCGGGGGCTCAGTGGACATGTGTGCGCACGCGTGCCATCCCGTGAGCGGAGGATGGTCCTGCATTATCTTAAAACCTTAACTGAGGACACACTTCCTCCTCCAGCTGAGCGCCTCTCCTGGCTCAGGGCCTCCTGACCCTGCTATCTCGCTCAGGAGGGGCCAGGATTCCCAGGGCCCTGCTGCCCAGGAGTATGCCTTGAGGGGTGTGTCCCCGACTTTCCAGCCAGCACCTGGGCCTCGTTGTGGATGGTGGTTGTGGCTGTGGCTGTCGCAGTGACTCTCGTCTCCAGCCCTGCCACCTGTCTGTAGTGGTGCCCGTCTGGCTCGCCGGGTGCCTGACGTCCTGGGCAGGTCTTTGCACGTGTGCTTTGATGTGTCTCTCCTTGCCCCGCTTCCTGCGTGTGGGACGCCAGGTCATTGCCCGTGGCTAGGCCCAATTGCCCCGTGGCAGCAGCACTCTGTCATGTCATGTGGCACTGCCCAGAACCCCCACTTCCCACTGGAGGTCCCCCCGACCCATGAGTGCATAGCAGCCTGTCTGCCCGGATGGTCTCTGACAAGAGCACTGCTTCCTGACGTCAGCACGGCGTTCTCCCAACCCCCTAGTTGGAGCACTGCAGGCTGGTGGACCTCACGTGTTCTTGGAAGAGCGTCTGTCACCAGCGCTGTCCCTTGTGAGGCACAGATCCCGGTGTGCCCCTGAGAGCCTGTCAGGCTGCCCTGCGACCTTTGGACATGGCCCTATTAGCCTTTGAGCTTATTCGCTTGTTTCCTGACATGACAGGCACCGGCCTGGCCTTGTCTGTGCCTGGCCCAGCCCTGGGACTATCCCTTCCCTGCTCCTCCTGGTCACCTGGCAGCATGGCTTTGGGAGGAGAGAGCTGGGATGGGGTGTGTGTGTATAAATGGATTCATTTCGAGTTTTCCAACTTAAATTTAACATTATGATCTTTGATTTTGTATTTGTCTCTTTTTCTTACACTGAGAAATTTGGTTCCTGAAAGGGCTAATGTATTTACTTATGATGTTTTTTGTACAGTCTACATGGAAGTTCCATGATTGCTGTTAATAGTAATACTGATATTTAACAGCAGACTTACCGAGTGAAGGTCAGGATTTCTCTGTGGTTCTTTTTATCCTTGGAATTTGTCACGTTAACGACACACAGACGGGTGTTAAAGAGTTGGTTGAGATAATTCCTTTTGCTCTGTGGCTGCTGCCTGTTGGAACCTGCAGCTGGGTTGGTTTGTCTGTGGACAGTTGGGAGTTTGCCTTTATTCCTCTCAGGTCTTAGTCTGGGACGAGTGGTGTGTTTGCCCACGTTCCGTGGCCCAGAGAGGCCCAACTTTGTCCCTGTGGCCCCAACAGGCTCCCTTCTTGGGGCTCCTGCTTGGTCCTTGTGGGGTGTTCAAAGAACCTGCAGTGTGCACACTGGTCTGCCCTCTTTTTCTCATTTGACAAGAAGTCCCAGAAATCACCCCAGATGAGCTCCACCAGCCGTACTTCCCCTGCAGCGTCTGTCCTTGGCCCTGCACCTCGGGGTGTTCTGTGAGCCAAGCCTGCGGCTGCCTGAGCAACTTCCTCTGCCGAGCCCACACCATGTGTGCGAGTGCTGGGTTCGGGTCCATGCTTGGGATTTTGTGAGGACCTGGGGACGTTTTTTAAAGGAAGGTTGTACAACAGACTCAAACACGGAAGGTAGAGCGTAGTTTTGCTTCAAGTTGTAGGAAGACGGATGGGACTCCAAGCCGTGGTTGTTGTGTGTTCAGTGTTTGGTTCCTTCTGTGTGACTTGCTCCGTGCTTGTCTGTGTGTGTGTCACTTTCCCACACGTGGCAGTGATCGGTGTTTGTGTTTCAGGTGGCAGGATCGTGTCCTCGAAGCCCTTTGCACCTCTAAACTTCAGAATAAACAGTAGAAACTTGAGTGGTAAGACACTGTCCTGTTGTTTTGATTAGTGTCGGTCATTTTAAGCATCTGACGTGCATCCGGTGAAGGTGCCTGTGGCGGGTGGTGGAGGCGGGGGCAGCTGTGGCGCTAACCCGCCCGTTGTGTGTGCAGACATCGGCACCATCATGCGCGTCGTGGAGCTGTCGCCCCTGAAGGGCTCCGTGTCGTGGACGGGGAAGCCGGTCTCCTACTACTTGCACACTATTGACCGGACCATAGTGAGTGTCCCGGCGGGACCCCCACCCCGTGGCCCCTTACGACCCTGCTGGGGCCTCTCTCAGCCTGTTGGACCTGGGGGAGCCGAGTCAGCTCTGTCCAGGGAGTCCCAGTCCTTACCACCTGTCACTCCTGTTCTCGGCTCACTCCGTGTCCAGGGAATGTGGCCCAAGTGCCCAGCTGCGGCTCGTTGGTGAATCGAGATGATGCCTGCCATGGCGGGGTTGGGTCGCACCCTCGTCTGCCACCAGCGGGATCCGGCTGTGCACTTGGCATCCCAGAATATGTGATGTCATCTGGGATGTCCCATTCGTCCTGACAGAGTACAGGACTCACTTCTAATGAGATTTTTTCTTTTCTTTTCTTTTTAGCTTGAAAACTATTTTTCTAGTTTGAAAAATCCAAAACTCAGGGTAAGTTCGTGTGTTTTCTTCCTTGAGCTAGTAATGTGGACGTGCTGCTGTGCGAAAACCTGCCGCGTTCCCGAGTGGCTGGGTTAAGGCAGGATAATGGCAGCGATGGGTCCTGTAGGGCAGCCCTGCGGTTCCGCGGGCTCTGAGCCCTTTCCACCCCCGTCCTCCCCGGTGTCTCTCTGTCTCTGTCTACGTGCGTCCTCATCTTCGATAGGTTCACCTGGGACAATCTTCTTAATCACAATCTGGGGGTGGTCGCTGGGCGAGTCGTGGTTCCCTAAAGGTTATTTTTGGTGATTGGCTACTGGCTGTGAAGTACAGGACGCGGGATCTGCTCCCCCTCGCGCTGCCCTGGTGCGCCTGCGGGCTGTGGTCCGTGATGCCTCTGCCTGGGGCCGGAGTGTTCCTTGTTTCCGGTGCAGAGCAGTTGCTTCTTGGCACTGCCATTCTGCACCTGTGAAGGCTGATCGCACCCCGTGCGCCTCCCATCTAGAGGGCATTTCCAGTAACTCATTCAAGAGAACAAACCGTGCACAGAGCACCCACTGGCGGGGCCTCGGTACATCTCACCAAGAGGGGAGGCGGGAGGGACAGGGAGGGAGGGGCTTCTCATCCTTGCGCCTGGGGGTCTGTCCTTGGTGTGGTTCACAGTTCAGAGGCTGCCTGGCTTGTGGGTGAGGGCCTTTGTGTTTGCGCGTGCGACTGCGGGTGCCACGTCGTGTGGCCTGTGGGAGCTCGAGACGTCTGTGTCTCAGCTCCCTCATCTGTGCGGACAGCCCCTCGGGTGCGGGATCCGAGTCCCCAGGGCGCAGGAGGGGCTCTGGCCAGTGCCAGACTCTGCAGTGCCATCCGGCTCTTTCTCTGCAGGAGGAACAAGAGGCAGCTCGGCGCCGGCAGCAGCGGGAGAATAAGAGCAACGCGACTACTCCCACCAAGGTGCCCGAGAGCAAGGCGGCCGGCCCCACGGATGCCCCCGTGGTAAGCCCCACGCTGGCCTGGCCGGCAGGTGCAGCTCCCACGGTATTCCGCCCTCGCCCTGCCATCGCCCCCTGTGTTGCGCAGGATTCCGGCGCTGAGGAAGACAAAGCTGGAGCAGCCCCCATCAAGAAGCCGTCCCCCTCCAAGGCCCGCAAGAAGAAGCTGAACAAGAAGGGGCGGAAGATGGCCGGCCGCAAGCGCGGGCGCCCCAAGAAGATGAGCACTGCAAACCCTGAGCGAAGGCCCAAGAAGAGCCAAACTGCACTGGATCTCCTGCACGCCCAGACCGCGTCCCAGACAGCGTCCCCCTCGCCCCAGGGTGAGCCCCGTCCCGCCCCTGCCTCCAGGCCGCGCTTCACCTGCTGTGTGGCTGCCCGGGGAGCCCCTCGGAGAGGACACGCCCTCCTGGGTCTCAGGTCTGCAGCGTACCAGCAGCTCTGCTTTTGTGGTTGCTCTGCCCCAGGGTCCCCGGACCCCACCACATCCCCGTCCCGCCTACAGAGGGGCCCCCGCACACCCAGCTGGGGCCAGTCCTGGAAGGGACTCACCAGTGGGCACGAGAGGCTTTTTGACTACATTGTTGCCAGCCAAGGTCTGGCGCTGTAACGCTGCTCCTGGGGGCTAGAGGGAGGCTTCCAGAGGGGCCTCCGCCCTGGCGCTCAGCATTGTCTTGGACTCTGGGAAATGTGTTGAGCTTCTCCTGAAGGAAACGGGGTCTGTGAGCTGGTCCTGGGCTCTGTGGGAGTGTGGTTGGGTTGACACATGGTCCGTCCTCTTGTGCAGATGCCTACAGGTCACCTCACAGTCCCTTCTACCAGCTACCTCCGAGCGTGCAGCGGCCCTCCCCGAACCCGCTGCTGGGGGCGCCCACCCCGCCCGCGCTGCAGAAGCTGCTAGGTGAGCTGTGCTGGGAGGGCGCTGGCCTGGACGAGTGGGGTTCCCAGCAGACAGGGTCATGACTCGCCTGGCAGCAGCCCCTGGGATGGTTGCACTGGACTCCACACGAGTGGCAGGGCCTGGGATCCGGCCTGCTAGAGGCGTCAGCAGATGGGCCCCCGGGGTTGTCTGAGTTCAACATTCTCACCCCAGGGGTCCCTGGGTGATGTCTGCGGACATGTTCCATTGTCGCGGTGAGGGGGGGTGCTCCTGGCATGGAATTGGTGGCAACCAGGGACACTGCTCAGCACCCCACAGTGCCCAGGGCAGCCCCCCAGAGAGCGGTCAGCTGTCCAGGGGAGAGAGGACCTGGGCAGGCCCCTCACGCTTAGGTGCTCCCCATGACATGAGGGTGCAGGCGTGTCCTGCTTTGATGAGCTCGTGACACTCCCGTGATGACAGGATGGGGAAGGTCCTGGGCTGGAACAGGCACCCAAGCAGCTGCTCTGAGCAGGCTGTTAAGTGGGTGCTGGGTGGGCCAAGTCCAGAGCTTCTTCCCCATGGCCTCCGATGGGTCACATGTGTCAGAGCGCTTACCTCAAACCACGTCACGTGTCTCTCTCCTTAGAGTCCTTCAAGATTCAGTACCTGCAGTTCTTGGCGTACACAAAGACCCCTCAGTATAAGGCCAACCTGCAGCAGCTGCTGGACCAGGAGAAGGTGGGTCCCACCCGCACCGTGCTTGTCTCCTGCTGCGCGGCATTGGCTCTGTTGCCATGCAAGCCCCAGTGGGTAGCGGGCCTGAGCGGGCTCTCCTGCCCCTCACCTGCTCCTTGCTGGCCGAGCTTCACACCTGAGGCCCCCGCTGTCGAGGCTGCCCTGGGCCTAGCCATGGGGAGGCAGCCCCCTCCGGTCAGGGCCCCAGAACCCTTGGTGCCCAGTGGGTGTCATTGCCTCAGGGATGAGGGTGCACAGCTCAGAGAGGCTGGGTCGTCCTTGGCTCTGCGTCTCCCTATGGCTCTGAGCCTGGCATGGTCCATCTTCCCATCAGCCCCGGGGCTGGGGCGCAGGTGATTGCACTGTCTCCAGGCTGGTGGAGCACAGCTGAACCCAGAGACCGCCTTGCCACCTGGTCCTTTGTGTCAGCTGAGGGACGTAGGTGACAGTGATTCTGGCACTTGAAGGTGCTGCAGTCTAGAAACGTCTCCGGCAGGAGGCTCAAGTGGCCTGTGATCCCATAGTCACGTGTCTGAGCCCTGGTTTTTTTTTTTTTTTTTTTTTGAGACAGAGCGTCACTCTGTTGCCCGGGCTAGAGTGCCGTGGCGTCATCTTAGCTCACAGCAACCTCAAACTCCTGGGCTCAAACTATCCTCCTGCCTCAGCCTCCCGAGTAGCCGGGACTACAGGCATGTGCCACCATGTCCGGCTAGTTTTTTCTATATATTTTTAGTTGTCCAACTAATTTCTGTCTGTTTTTAGTAGAGACGGGGTCTCGCTCTTGCTCAGGCTGGTCTCGAACTCCTGAGCTCAAACAATCCGCCCGCCTCGGCCTCCCAGAGAGCTAGGATTACAGGCGTGAGCCACCGGCGCCTGGCCTGAGCACTGGTTTTTTGTTGGGACTCAGATGTTGCTGTAAAAGCTGAGGAGGCTGGTGCCATGCTTTGGGCACATCTGTCCCCGCTCAGCTGACAGCTGCTGAGGCCTTGTTCTCCATTGGTGTCGGGAGGTCGTCACGTTTGAGTGGCTCACAGTATCATGTCACATTTAGGAACCAGCCCTTCCTGCATTGACAGGTTGTTGGGATAGTCTGAATTTTTGCTGTCATAGCAGCAGACTTCTTGTAAATTCATGGGAAAAGCCCACTTTTGGTACTTCCTGGGATAAATCCCCAAAGGAATTGGTGGTCTCCGTGCTGCTGGGATGTGCGGTGGCCCTGCGCCTGGAGCCCCTGCACGTGGAGCTCCTTATCAGCGTGTCTGTCGGGAGTGCGTTCGAGGGTATTGTGGAGGGTCAGGGCCTGGGGCCTTCCCTGGCGGGCCCTGGGGTCACCTGCCCCATCCCCTGCAGGAGAGGAACACACAGCTGCTGGGCACGGCGCAGCAGCTCTTCAGCCACTGCCAGGAGCAGAAGGAGGAGATCAGGAGGCTCTTCCAGCAGAAACTGGACGAGGTCTGGTCTGGGGCTGGGCTGGGCAGCTGGGTACAGATTGGGGTGGCCCGGATCTGACAGGGCGTCTCCCGTTGGCCCCCTTGCCTTCATGGATGCATCCCCCTGATGGGGAGAGGGCTGGGGCCTGGGGAGTCGAGTGGGCTGCCCTTGGGGCTGGGCTGTGGGGTGGCCGCCTCCTCAGGGCCCATTGTGCCCACCGCCCGTGTGTCTGTGTGTGTCCACAGCTGGGAGTGAAGGCCCTGACCTACAACGACCTGATCCAGGCGCAAAAGGAGATCTCTGCGCACAACCAGCAGCTGCGGGAGCAGTCGGAGCAGCTGGAGAAGGACAACAGTCAGCTGCGCAGCCAGAGCCTGCAGCTGGTGGGTGCCTGCATCGGTGTCCCGCAGTGCCCAGCAGGGCAGCCTCCCCCAGGCTGCCAGGGCTGGAAGCCTGTCGACCCAAGTCTCTGGTCAGCGGGGCGGGGGCCGGGCTCTTCAGTGACCAGAGGGCCCTGCCTGGGGTGGGATGGGCTTTCCACGGCCCTGCTCGTCTACAGTGGGAGGTTCCGGAACCTCCCCTCTGATACCTGTGTCCTTAGCTTGTCTGTTGACTCCCTGTGCAGCCTTCCAGAGCTCTGGCAGAGCACTAGGGTGGACAGGCCGGCACTGCCCTGCATTCCCCCCACCAGGGCTCCTAGAGCCTGCACAGCCAGCACAGACTGCGGTGTCTCGGGCCATGGTGCCCATGTGCCTGCTTTGCCTCTCCCTGCCCCGGGTGTAGCACTGAGGCCGCGTCTGTGTGTCCTGGGGGCCTCGGCCTGGCGTTCTGGAGAGCATGGACCCCTACCCCATTCTGTCCACGGGCCCCACTCGCCAGGCCATTGCTGCAGCCGCTGCATCCTGTCCCCGCAGCTCAAGGCCCGGTGTGAGGAGCTGAAGCTGGACTGGGCCACGCTGTCCCTGGAGAAGCTGCTGAAGGAGAAGCAGGCCCTGCGGACCCAGATCTCGGAGAAGCAGCGGCACTGTCTGGAGCTGCAGGTGGGCGTCGCAGTGCTTCCCGCCGTGTGCGCAGGGCGAGCCGGCTGCTTTCTCCCAGGACGGCTTCAGCTTTGGGGTTACCATGGTGGCAGTGGCCCAGGAGCCTCCACCTTGCAGCCTTTGGAAGAGGGTTCGTGGGGGCGGAGGGACAGGTGGGTTGTGCCTGGACGCTTGCTGTGCCATGCCCCTGTGTGGCGTGGGGAGGCTCCACTCACTCTTATCCTCTCTGGTCCAGCATCTCGGGGCTTGTTTAGCTGAGCGCTCATTGCTGAACTAAGATTTCCTGGCTGCCTTCTTGTAAATGGTTTCTGAAAGAGTCACCAAAGAATTTGCTCACTAAAATAAAATAGGTTGTGACCATCTTGAGCAAGAGCAAGACCCGGTCTCTAAAAAGAATATAAAAAATTAGCCGGGTGTGGTGGCACCTGTAATCCTAGCTACTTGGGAAGCTGAGACAGGAGGATCGCTTGAGCCCAGGAGTTGGAGGCTGCAGTGAGCTGTGATGATGCCACTGCACTCCAGCCTGGGCAACAGAGCTAGACCGTCTCAAAAAATAAAAACCTTGTCCTATTTGATGGGTTAGTAACAGAAACGTGCCTACTGAGGTGAGTTAGAAGGCGCGAGGAGGATGGAGAGGCACAGTGTGTGGTGTGTTTCCTTTCATAGTGCTTCTAGGAGTTGATTTTTGTGTGTGTAGCTGTCACACGGTACCAAGAATAAAGCAGAAAGACAGGTGGCGTCAACATTTCTGTTACGGAGGCTCCATCCGTGAGGGCTGTGACCTCCTGGTGTGCCCCCCTCCTTGCGGCAGCTTCGTCATTTGTGTAATGTGTTCTCTGCCGCTGGGCCCTTGGGGTCCTTTCAAATGGCTGATTCTTACTACTGAATGACGCTGTGATGCGTTTCTTGACATCAAAGACTAATTCTCACGCTTTCCTTAAAGGTGTGCTCCTGAAAACAAGTTTGTTAGTGTTTGAGGGTGCGACGCTCTCTGACGCCAGCATGTGACAGAGGGGTTTGCTGGCCTTGTTCTTACGGGTCTTCCCGTCTCTGTGGGCGGATAAGCTTGGGTTCTGAGTCTTTCTGTCATGTTTCTTTGTCATAATGAAACCACACGTGCCCGGTGTAGGAAGGAGATAGAGACAGTGAACAGACCAAGAGGCAGAAACTTCCCTCAGGCTGACGGCCCGGAGAAGACACTGCTGTTTGAGAGGGGTGCGATCCTTCCTCGGGTCTTCCTGGTGATCTTTGTGCTGACAAATCTATTTTTCACAGTGCGAGATCGCTCTGTGTGTGTCTGTGTTTCTTGCTGATCTTGGTGGTGTGTTTCCTGTTGATGAGTACACGTCTACGGCGCCATCCCCACCACTCACATGCCATTTTATCCATGCTCCCCTGGGCTTCCCGGCCTGACACTAGACCAGGGGCCGCTTTGGTTTTTCTGTCCTACGCAGTTGATTGGTGTGTGGCAGCTCCCCCGGGTGCCATGTGCATCAGGGTCCTGGGGTGGCGCCTGCGTCTGCTGCGGCTCTGGGTCTGATGCCGCCTCCCTCCCGCAGATAAGCATTGTGGAGCTGGAGAAGAGCCAGCGGCAGCAGGAGCTGCTGCAGCTCAAGTCCTGCCTGCCGCCCGATGACGCCCTATCCACGCACCTGCGCGGGAAAGGCACCCTGGGCCGCGAGTTGGAGGCTGACCCCAGCAGGCTGCACCTCGAGCTGGACTGCGCCAAATTCTCACTGCCCCGCTTCAGCAGCATGAGCCCGGAACTCTCCATGAACGGTCACGCCACCAGCTACGAGCTCTGCGGCGCCCTGAGCCGGCCCTCGTCCAAGCAGAACACCCCCCAGTACCTGGCCTCCCCCCTAGACCACGAGGTGGTGCCCTGCACGCCCAGCCACGGCAGCCGGCCACGGCTGGAGAAGCTGTCCGGCCTGGCCGTGCCCGACTACACCAGACTCTCCCCTGCCAAGATCGTGCTGCGGCGGCACCTGAGCCAGGACCACGCAGCATCCAGCAGGGCGGCTGCCAGCGAGCTGCACCCACGGTGAGTGCCTCAGGGGCTGTGGGGGAACCTTCTTGGTGGGAGCGCCTCAGTTGGGAAGAGCTATGGAGCTATGTGCTGGGCCTGGGCCGTCCCAGGAGGTCTCCCCAAGAGTGACCGGGGCTTCTCCTCCCAGAGCCGAGCACGCCAAGGAGAATGGCCTTCCCTACCAGAGCCCCAACACGTCCAGCAGCCTGAAGCTGAGCCCTCAGGATCCCCGTCCCCCGTCCCCCGGGGCCTTGCAGCTTGCTGGGGAGAAGAGCAGCGAGAAGGTGCGGCCTGGGCCCCGCCTGCCCTCTGCCTGTGCTCCCAGGGCTCACGCTGAGGCGGCAATGCCCAGGGCTTAGGGTTAGCGGGAGAGGGGGCCCTGGTTACCTCGGGGTGGAGGAGAACGTGAGTGGGGCCTGGTGGGAACGGCACAGGCAACACTGGGCAGGCATGGTGGAGGGCGCAGGGTCTGGGTAGTGGATGGAGTTTGTTTGCACTGTCGGGCTGGGAGCACTGGTCTGACGCAGAGCCCTGCTCAAGAGGCTGCTGCGTCCCCTGGAAGTGACAGGAGTGTCTCTAGAACATCCCAGTGCAGCCTCCACGGGGAAGAGCTGGGGACCCAAGGGTCTGGGACTGCGGGGGGGTGGTCGGCTGGGGACCCCTGGTCCCGTGGCCTGGGGCCTGCTGACTGCGTGGTGGCTGGTGTGTGCCGCAGGGTCTGAAGGAGCGCGCCTACGGCAGCAGCGGGGAGGCCATCACCAGCCTGCCCATCAGCATCCCGCTGAGCACGGTGCAGCCCAGCAAGCTGCCCGTCAGCATCCCGCTGGCCAGCGTGGTGCTGCCCAGCCGCGCGGAAAGAGTGGTGAGTGTCCCGTGCGCCAGCTGAGGCAAAATGGAGTAGGGGGGCTTTTGCAATTTTTAAAAAATCGCTCACTGTTAAATTTTAAGCACACGGTAATGCAAGAAAAATATAACACCCCAAACCTATATTAATTACGGTGTATTTTGCAGTTTTTATGTCCAGTCCATTTCTCTGGTAGAAGGCGGTGTGCGCAGGTAGAGAGGGAACGAAACCGGGTCAGGAGGACCCCAGCCTCCCTCCTCCTCCAAGGCCAGCTGCGGTGGCCGCAGCCTGGCTCCCACACCCTGTTCTCCTACCCCACACAGGAGGACGCACGGATGACCATCTGTGTAGTGTGTGGTGGGGTTTCCTGGGCAATGAGGCATATCTTTCTTTTTATCATTGGATACAATTCACCCACTTCAGTGGTTTTTAGTATATTCAGAGTTGTGCAACCAGCTACCTCTAACTCCAGAACATTCCATCATCCCCAAAAAGAAACCTCATCCCTTCCCCCAGCCCTGACGACCACCGATCTACCTCCTGACGCACTGGCTTTCCTTCCACAGAGGAGCACCCCGAGCCCTGTGCCGCAGCCCCGAGACTCCGCATCCACACTTGAAAAGCAGATCGGTGCTAACGCCCACGGTGCTGGGAGCAAGAGCCTCGCCCTGGCCCCTGCAGGTGAGGCCCGTCCTGCCGCCACAACCCGCGGATGCCCGTCAGGCCGGCTCCAGCCTGAGCCCCTCCCGGAGGTGCCTCTGAGCTGCAGCCACTGGGAGCCCCAGGGAGCTGGGGGCTCTGCAGCCTTGGGCCTGGGTCTCCGTGATGCTGACACACGCGTTGGCTGTTCCAGCCTGTGCTGTGCCCCGCTCCTGTCAGGGGTGGTCTTGTTGCTCACCCAGCTGCGAAGCATGGGAGTCTCTGAGGCCCAGGACTTGGGGGTCGGCTGGGCACACGGTGGTGCCCAATACAGGTGGTCGTGGGCGTCGGGTGCATAGCTGCCTACTGGGTTCCGTTGTCCTTCGGAAAGCTCCGGCCACACGGAGCTTTATTAACATAGTGCTCCACAAACGCCTTTGCTGTTACGTCCCTCCTGTCATCCTACCTACCTACTGCTCAACATGCAAGTAGCCAGTGCCAATATGGAAACGGGTGAGCGCGGCTGTGCGCCAGTAAAACTTTATTTACAACAACAGGCCGTGGGCCAGACCCGTGGGCTGTAGTTTACTGGCCGTGTATTAACTAACACGTGGTGTGACACGGCAGTTACATTTTTAGGAGTGAAAAATAAAGTGCAAGAGGCCGCTATTTGGACAGGCACAGCCTGTGGACAGTTGTCTTCCCTAAGTCTGGGGAGGACACCAGGTCCCTGGGATGCCCTTGAGTCCAGGCACGGCCTGTCCTGTGCCTAGGGTAGGTGGTGCAGGGCTGTTCTCTCTGAAGTAGTTACATTATCAGGGCTTTGGAGGCGTCTAGGAACGGGCTCCCTGGCAGGCCCCGCATGTGGAGTGGGAACTAAGGGTGTAGTTGCTTGAGTCCCAGACCCACCACAGCATCATCCCTCCCTCCTGGAGTGGGAGGAGCCTCAGCCCCAGCTGGCCCCACCCCCCCCACCAGTCACTGCTGTTCTTCCGTGTCCTTTCTTCCGCTCTGATCTCTCAGCGGGCTCTCCTCCTCCTCTCCCGAGCCTCTCTGCTCCTCTGGGCAGCTTCCCTGGTGAGCGCTCAGCATTCCTACACACCCAGGAGTGGAGAGATGTCTAAAGGACCGTTCTGCAACTCACATGTGGTGGTGGCTGTACCAGGGTTTGTTGTTTTTTTTTTTTTTTTTAGAGACAGGGTCTCCCTTTGTCCCCCAGGCTGGAGTGCAGTGGCTCATCCCAGCTCACTGCAGCCTCCAACTCCTGGGCTCAAGCGATCCTCCTGCCCTAGCCTCCCAAAGTGTTCGGATTGCAGGCGGAAGCCACTGCACCCAGCCAGGGGCATTTTTTAGGGCCCTTGCCTGGTACCTTTGTGCCTGGAAGGTGTTGCTGGCCCCACCTCCCATGGGTACCACGCTGCCAGCGGCCAGGCCCGGGAGAGGAGAGCACGCTGGGGCCAGACTGGTGATGAGCTCCAGCCAGAGCACCTGCACACCCCTCACACCAAGCTGCGGCCGAGGCGCCTCCATTCCTGGGGTGGTCCCTGAAATGCAACTGCGGCCTAGGGAGGAGGGGCCCGAGAGGGGCTCGGTGTTCATGGCTTCCACAGCAAGTGGCCTTGTGTTTCTGAGCCCAGAGCTGTCGTCTGTGGCCAGGAGGAAGGAGGTGGTTCTGGGGGTTAGGCCAGCCTGGGGCTCTTGCCCAGGCAGTGTCTCTGGGACAGGAGCGTGGCCAGCACACTTTGCTGTCCAGGGACACTTAACCCAGCCTGGGGCCAGTTCAGGATAGATGTCCTGGCGTAGGCAATGTCTCAGCTGAGACTTGGGGGCCTGGGCAGCTCAGCCCGGTGGCCAGAGCCCAGGTGTGCAAAGGCTCAACCCCTGAAGGTCTGAAGGTGGGGGCTGGCGGGACCTGCCAAGGGGCACTGCCAGGGCGTGGTCATGGTTGGAGTGGGAGTCGGTGGCAGTAAGAGTCCCCGAGACCCCGTGGGGTGGTATGGCAGCTCCCTCCTGCCTTTGACTCCCTGTACCCTCCTACTCCATCTCCTCCCACGTGACCTTAGAACACAGAGCTCTCAGTATTGTTCTCTCCTACTCGAGATTGACTGTGGAACCTTCCAGATCCACACCCAGGGGCCATTTCTGACTCCAGGACCGTCCCCGCTTCCCTGGGATCTGCCAGCTCTGCCCTGGGTAGCTCCCAGGAAGGCCTTCCCGAGATTGGCTCCCTCCTCTGCCGGGATAGGCCCTGGTGTCCACACTGTGGGCTCCAGCCATCCTGCATCCCCTGAGAAACTGTGTCCCCTGTAGGCTTCTCCTACGCCGGCTCAGTGGCCATCAGTGGGGCCCTGGCTGGCAGCCCTGCGCCACTGGCCCCAGGAGCCGAGCCGTCCGCCTTCGAAGAGTCCTCTGGCTCGGGGAGCATCTTTGCCGCCGTGGGGTCCCGCAGCTCGACACCACAGCACCCGCCCCTGCTGGCGCAGCCCCGCAGCTCCCACCCAACATCTCCTGCCCACCAGCTTTCCGCCAGCCCCCGACTAGGTGGGGCTGCCCAGGGCCCCCTCCCTGATGCTAGTAAGGGGGACCTGCCCTCTGACACCGGCTTCTCGGATCCGGAGAGCGAGGCCAAGCGGAGGATCGTCTTCACCATTTCTGCCGGCATGGGCAGCGCCAAGCAGTCGCCTTCCAGCAAGCACAGTCCTCTGAGCGCAGGTGCCCGCGGGGACTGCGGGCAGAGCCACGGGCAGGACAGCCGCAAGCGGGGCCGGAGGAAGCGGGCGTCGGCTGGGACCCCCAGCCTGAGTGCGGGCGTGTCCCCCAAGCGCCGGGCCTTGCCACCTGTGGCTGGCCTCTTCACGCAGCCGTCGGGATCCCCCCTCAACCTCAACTCCATGGTGAGGATGGCGCCCTGGGGCAGGTGGGGGCCGGAGGGGGACCAGGACAGGGCTGGGGAGGCAGACACTGACCTGATCACACAGCTCCGCCCATGTGAGCACAGGGAGGGGTCAGACATGCCACTGCCACGTCAGAAGGTGGAAACCCCACGACACCTGTCAGGTGCCCCGTCCTGGGGACCTGTCTGTCTGTGGGCCTGTGCACATTTGCTGTGTTTCTGCCCCTCAGGTCAGTAACATCAACCAGCCCTTGGAGATCACGGCCATCTCGTCCCCCGAGAACTCCCTGAAGAGCTCCCCCATCCCCTACCAGGACCATGACCAGCCCCCCGTGCTCAAAAAGGAGCGGCCCCTGGGCCAGACCAACGGAGCACACTACTCCCCACTGACCTCGGACGAGGAACCTGGCTCGGAGGACGAGCCTAGCAGTGCCCGGCAAGTTACGGGGCGGGCGGGCAGCAGGGCCTGGTGGGCACGGGTGGGTGCAGTGTCAGGTGCCAGTTGGCGCTGGCTCAGAGGAAGGTGTCGACTTTGTAGGAAGCGCCTTTGCGAAAGTCCTGCGAATGTGTTGGGCGTCGTCCACCTCTCAGGCAGCGTGGGGTGGGGTCTGTGCGCCTGCGGCCGGGCAGGGCAGCTTCCCTGGGGTCAGCACGGTGTCCTGACACACGTTTAACGTCTCTGGGTTAGGAGAGACAAGGGAGTGGAGTCGGCCACAGCACGTCTGGCCCTGTTTATCTTATTGTAAAGAACCATTTCTTTTTTCAGTAGTAGTTTTATTACATATAATTCGTGCACCACGCCACCCATTTATAGAATTCAGAGGTTTTCAGTATATTCACAGGGTTGTGTAAACATCACCATTATCTAAATCCAGAATATTCCATCACCTCATCCTTATGAAATACTAATTCCCCAGCCCTCCCGTCTCCGTGGATCTGCCTGTTCTGGACATTTCATATAAATGGAGTCTCACACTGTGTGTCCTTCTGTGTCCGGCGTCTGGCGTCTCTCACTGAGCACGACGTCCTCAAGGTCCACCCACGCTGTAGCCTGTGTCAGAGCCTCGTCCCTTTTTGTGGCTGCGTTATGTTCCACGTGTGGATGGACCACGTTGTGTGTGTCCATTTACCCATCGATGGACACTTGGGTTGTGTCCACGTTTGGGGCTATTGTGAATCGTGCTGACGTGAACAGGGGTGTACCAACAGCTCTTTGAGACCTGCTTTCAGTTCTCTTGGTGTGTACTGAGAACTGGAATTGCCGGATCACATGGTAATGTCGTATCTACGTTTTTGAAGAACTGCCTTGTTTTCCATAGCAGCTGCGCCATGTGCATTCCTATAGGCCGTGCTCGAGGGTTCCGATTTCTCCACGTCCTCGCCAACACTTCTTTTCTTTTTTTTTTTAACTGTAGATGTGAGGTGGTATCTCATTGTAGTTTTTTTTCCTTATTTATTTCCTTAAGTTCAGGGGTGGGTACAAGTGGTTTTCCATGTGATGGCTGAAACAGATACAAGCCCCTTATCAGATACACGATCTGCAGATCTCCTCGGTCTCACTTGGCCGCTGGTGTCCTTTGAAGCACAAATGAGTTAACTTTTGATGAGGTCCCATTTGTCTCTTTGCTTTTGGCGTCTCTGCTTTTGGTGTTTTGTCACGGTGTCCATTTTGTTCCTAGTCCACACGCGTGAGTTATGTTACAAACACGTTCTGCACTTGGGTGCTCTGTTTTTGTGTTGGGAACGCCCAAGGCAGGGATTCCAGAATCTTTGGGGATTCCTCTGTGTCCTGGAGGTCACAGTGTTGTCTGGGGTATACAGTAAAACTATTGACACATGGGACACATGATTTGACGCAACTGTGCATCCTGGTTCCGTGCACAGCTGGGACCGTGTGCCGGGACAAGCACGGAGGGGCTTGTGAGAGGAAAGAACAGCTCCCCTGGGGACCTGCCTGCTTTCCCAGTCGCGTGTGTGGCTGAGCTCTCAGCCCGTCGCCCAGCAGAGGTGCTGGAGTACCCACCAGGACAGTGCCCTGCTCTGCGGCCGGCACAGTGGGGGCAGGTCCTGGCCCTGGGGATCTGGCCTTGCCAGTGGGTCCTCCTGTCGGGTGGAGAGTGCGCTGTGCCTCACCTGCCTCTCCCTTCCTTGAGCTAGTCAGTGTTAGTGTTCGTATAGCTCTGTTAGTGCACGGTTGGATTTCAAACATTAATGATCTTTTTTTTTCCCTCAGAATTGAGAGAAAAATTGCAACGATTTCCCTAGAAAGCAAGTCTCCCCCCAAAACTTTGGAGAATGGTGAGTAGTGAGTGCTCCTGGGGTCTCAGATGCCCAGGGCCAGTTCCTCTGCTGGGGGCCAAGCCGCCTTATAGACTCGTCTCTGGTGGTGCGTGGTGTAGCCCAGGGCCGCCCTGGGCAGAGAGTGGGCACCTGCCAAGCTGGTGTCTGCTGGGTGGCAGCTGTGGGGGCCTCCTCACATTCCTGGCCACGTGGCCATCTGTCTCCTCGCACCCTGCTACCCCAGGCTGCCTGTGCCTGTGTGGTCCCTCGGTCGCCTGGGGACAGCCCGTCCTTGCTGCTCAGAGCTGTGTGCACTTTGGTACCTTTCCCTCCCTAGGAGGCACCAGTTAGTTCTGAGCAGAGTCTGGCCCTTCAGGGCTTCTCCCCGTCCCCAGACCGCACCAGCCTCCAGCTGTGCCGCCCTGTCTCAGCCTCGGGCTTGTTGGTGGGTGCACGGCCCTGCAGGGCCACTGTCCGGGGCAGCCCAGGTCTCACGCCTCTGCCTGTCCTCCTCGTCAGGTGGCAGCTTGGCGGGAAGGAAGCTGACGCCCGCGAGCGAGCCCGTCAACAGCAGCAAGTGGAAATCCACCTTCTCTCCCATCTCCGACATCAGCCTGGCCAAGTCCGCGGACAGCCCGCTACAGGCCGGCTCCGCCCTGAGCCAGAACTCCCTGTTCACGTTCCGGCCTACCCTGGAGGAGCCCGTCGCCACGGACGCCAAGCTCGCTGCTCACCCCAGGAAAGGCTTTCCCAGTGCCCTGGCAGGGGCCGATGGACTCAGCCCAAGCACCAACCCCTCCCATGGCTTTGCCTTCAGCGGGGGCCTGGCCGCGGAACTCAACTTACACAGCTTCAGCGACGGTGCTTCTCTCGCCCACAAGGGCCCTGAGGCTCTGGGATCCCCGCTGAGCTTCCCCTCGCAGCGGGGCAAGGAGGCCACGGAGGCCAACCCCTTCCTCGGCAAGAGGCAGCTGGATGGCCTGTCCGGCCTGAAGGCCGAGGGCGCCAAAGGCAAGGAGGCGGGCGAGAGCGGCCTGGCCCTGTGCGGGCCTGGGGAGAAGGCGCCCCCGCTGTTGGGCAGCAAGGCCAGCAAGGGCCGGGACCGGGAGCTTGACCTCAAGAACGGCCACAACCTCTTCATCTCCGCGGCAGCCGTGCCTCCCGGGGGTCTCCTCAGCGGGCCCGGCCTGGCCCCGGCGGCGTCCTCTGCAGGCGGCGCAGCCCCCACCGCCCAGACTCACCGGCCCTTCCTGGGCGCCTTCGCCCCGGGCCCACAGTTCACGCTGGGGCCCGTGTCCCTGCAGGCCAACCTCAGCTCGGTGGCCGGCTCGTCTGTGCTGCAGTCCTTGTTCAGCTCAGTGCCGGCCGCCGCGGGCCTGGTCCACGTGTCCTCCGCCGCCACCAGACTGACCAACTCGCACGCCATGGGCAACTTCTCCTCCGGGGTGACAGGCGGAACAGTTGGAGGTAGGCAGGAGCGCGCCCTCCCGCCTGTCGGTCCCGAGAGCAGGGCTCTGGCTCCCGTGCAGGTGGTGACTCCTGGACAGCTGGGGCTGGTCACCGGCTGCGTCGCAGGGTCCTTGCAGGGCCCTGCACAGGGCTAGCAGCTGCGCCCTCAAGGCCCCTTGTCTCCTCTGGTACCTGCCGCCTCGTTTCTGTCAGGAAATCCCGGCAATGGTTGTGTGGGCAGCGGACTCCTTGCCAAGCCACCTGTCGGGTTCTCTGGTTGTAACGGCGTCCCTCTCGTTTTCAGAAGGCCACGGTGCACATGGTCGCTAGGGCATTACTCTCTCCCGCGGAGGTCACCTGTTTAAGAGTGACCGCCCCGAGCCCTGGCACAGCCCGGGAGCTGGTGTTGTAGGAGCGAGTCCTGTGGCGCCTGCCGCAGATGCAGGCGGGAGCGGAGCCGGGCCGGAGCGGCGCCCTGGGCCGGGCGGGCTCCCTGCGGGGCGGGCGGCAGGTGGGCCCGGAGGGGCGGGCGCCCCGCGCAGGTAAGCTGGTGCCTGCGCTGCCGCTGCCTGCACTTCGAGCCTGCACGCGCTGGAGCTGGCCTGTGACCTGCTTCCCCTCTGTGCTGCGCTTCTCTTCGCTTGGACTGGACAGTGCCCACCTGTTGAAGCTGAGTTTTTCTCTCCTGTTTGCAGGTGTCTTTAACCACGCGGTGCCTTCCGCCTCTGCTCATCCGTTTGGAGCCCGTGTCGGCCGCGGGGCCGTGTGTGGCAGCGCCACGCTGGGCCCGAGCCCGCTGCAGGCGGCGGCCAGCGCCTCGGCCTCTTCCTTTCAGGCCCCGGCCTCGGTCGAGCCTCGGCCGCCCCCTCCGCCTCCGCCTCCCCCGCTCCCTCCGCCTCCGCACCTGGGCCGGCCCCCTGCGGGGCCGCCCACCCTCCACGCACCCCCTAACGCCTCCTTGCCTCCTCCCCCCACGCTGCTGGCCGCTAACCCCGAGCCCGTGCTTCTGCAGAGCCTTGCGTCCATCCCGCCTAACCGCGCTTTCTTGCCCCCTGCCTCTGCCGCCTCCCTGCAGCCTGCTAACGCCTCTTTGTCTGCCAAGCTGGCCTCCCTCCCGCACAAGGGCGCCCGCCCCTCCTTCACGGTGCACCACCAGCCCCTGCCTCGGCTGGCCCTGGCGCAGGCCACGCCCGGGATCCCGCAGGCCAGCGCCACAGGGCCGTCCGCTGTGTGGGTTTCCCTTGGCATGCCGCCTCCTTATGCCGCGCACCTTTCGGGGGTTAAGCCGCGATAAAGACTTGCTTAGCTAGCAGTTCGTATTGTGTAAGGTAAGGCCAGAGCCACACCTGCTGGCTCATTTGAGACTGAACTGCCCTTCCCTGGCACAGAGGATGGTCGCAGGGCCCCATGGAAGGGCCAGGGGTTCTGAGGTGGAAAGAGGGAGATAGCGCCGTAGGAGGGCCTCAGGACGGGCAGCAAGCGCTGGTCATGGTGTGGCCTGAGTGCGGGGCCTGCGGAGCTCAAGAGCGTTTTGGGGCCGTGGCTGCCCGCGGTAACCCTGGTCCCGCACCAGCCGTGGCAGGGGAGGCTCCCAGAGTGGCCTCCAGGCCCTGGTGACCTGGGCGCCGGCCTAGTTCCAGGGTGCCCGGCACATGGCAGGCACAGTGTCTGCGGCAGAGTCACCAGGAAGTACGGTGGTGTGATGGCAGCCCCATGGCAGCCTTGAGCACACCTCCCAGGGCAGGGTGGGGAACCCGCGGCCTGAAGGTCACTGTGGTTTTCTGGGTCCTTAAGTGCAGCCTTTTGACTGAATCCAGATTTTACAGATCAAATCCTTTTATTAAAAGGGGAGCAGCAGAGAAAGATGAAGCTTTTCTTGCCTCTTTTGGTGCTTAAAATGTAAGAAGTCTTGAAATCGGGAGGCCTAGGACATTAAGAAAATGCACCGCCTGTGAGGCCTCGGTGCTGCCTGCCTTCTAAGACCACCTGCTCTGGGGGAACCAGGGGTGATAGGCGAGGCCACCAGGGCAGGCTCTGTGCCTCACCGGGCCTGAGGCGCCCTGCGGCTCTGGCAGACAGCCAGGGCTCTGAGTCCCGGAACTTCAGCACTGAGTTGGACCCACCAGTTAAGACAGTGCCACCTTGGGGGCCAGGAGGAAGTTGGGAGAGAGTTTGTTGGGTGCAAGGCCAGCAGAGAGCGTGCCACCCCTTCCCCCAGGGAGACAGTGTCGCCCGCAGCCCCTGGCGAGGACTGGGACAGGAGCTGGGTGCAGGGCTGTGTGCTGCCTGCTGCCCTCCCGCATGTGTGAGCGGACGCAGACCTGAGGCCTGGCTGCTGGGGGGGATCAGCAACCTGGTCAGTGCTGGTTACCAAAGGGCTGGAGACATGTGTGCCAGGTCCTGCCGGAGTCTTGAAGGTAGGGTGGCTTTAGCTGGACTCGACCTCTCGTCCTCAGAGCAGGCGGTGGTGCGGCCGGGCTGTCTCCTCTCCTCGCGGGGGCTGCTGGAGGAAGGCAGGTGGTTGGTGTCTGGCTCCCTGCGTCAGCCCACAGGGTCACTCGTCTCCAGCAGAGGGAGCTGGCCCTACGCCTGCCTCAGACAGTCCCGCTGCTCGGGGCAGCCCCAGCCCAGCGTGGCTGATGCCTCGTGCGCACAGGAGACCTTCGGTCCCCTGGCCTGGGTGCGTGTGGGGCGCCTCAGAGCCAGGTGTCGACAGCTCTCCCCACTGTGCCCCTGCAGGTAACTAGGATTTCTACCTCAACCGCGAGACCTATGCAAGGACGGTGTGGACCAAGGCGCCCGCTGCACGGTGCTCGCCGGCCTGCCGGGCTCCCCTGAGCAGCGAGGAGGACGGGAGGACGAGCTCTACTGTGAATCGCGGGACACCCGCAGGAGAGGCTGGGCCTGGTCCAGTTGTACTGTCGATAGTTTTAGATAAAGTATTTATCGTTTTTTAAAAAGTATAAACAATTCTGACTTATTTTATTCCATCTAAGTCGTCAGAGGCAACCTATTAAGAAATATAAATATCTATATATAAGAGGATCTATATAAAGACGCGTGTGAAGGGCTGGCCCGCCAGCGGAGACGCCGACAACCTGCCCTGGTGCTATCGTCCCGGCCGCGCCCTCCACCGTGCTTGGTGCTGAGCCTAGACGCCGACCAACGCCGACGCCCGTTCTCAAGCTCCTGCCCGCCCCGTTCCTATACCAAAGGCAAAGGCACGCCCATCCTTCCTCCTCATCCCTGTGCCCGCCCGGGCCTTCCCCTCCCAACCCCGCACTGTGAACGCCCAGACTGTTAACCCTGGGGCTCAGGATCCTGCCTCTGGCATAGGAACGGCTGGGCAGGCCCCTCCCTGTGTGCGTGGCGACGTGGCCTTGCGGGGCCGAAGGGAGTAGGCCCCACACTCAGCTCTGTGGTCTGTTCTGAGTGGTGCTCTGAGGAGGGGTCGCCCAGGACACCCAGCGGCTGGGTGGGCCTGCGTAACAAGTGCATTTACTTTGTATCTCTGTTGTCGTGGCTCGGAGCACGCGTGTGACGTGGCGGGTTGGTTGTGGGTCCCTGGTGTTTCTGTATAGGAGAGAGTCACGCTGAGGAGTGACAGTATTTTATAGATGTGATGAGAATTTATACATTTCATAGACTTGACTGCATTTATTTTTAGATGGTATAATGCACAGTGAACTTAAAAGAAAAAGAAAAAAGAAAAACAAGGGGAAAATCTTTTATTTATTCAAGTGCACAAAAGTGGCCCCCAGGCCAGCCCCACCCCAGACCCTGCCTGGCCACAGCCCCAGGAGCCTGGAGCTGCCACCCCTGCCGCGAGTCGCCCAGGCCCGCAGAGCCCCTGTTGGGTTCATGTTCACGCCCATCACGCATGTCTGCAGGTTCTCGCAGCTCCTGTGGGTGCGCCGGGGTGGGATGTGTCCCTTGGAACCTTGTGTCTCTGGCCCCCTGTCCCCCACCCCAGCCTTGGGACGGGGTGTGAACAGTAGAGCAGAGCAGAGGCTGAGCTTGGGGGAAAGGCAGGACTGTTCCAGGTGCTTCCAGAGGTTCGTGAAGGGTCTGGGGCTTCTCAGTTGTCTGAGCAGTGGTGTCTGGGGGAGCCCTAGGTCCCCTGACAAGGTCATCATCAGCCACAGGCCACCCACTGGGGCCAGTAAATGGCAGCAGGTCCTGGCAGGAGGTGTTCTCGACCCCCACAGTTTGTGTGTCTGGGCCTCGCTGGGCCTGTTGTCAAGTGCTTGCCCCTACACGGTGGCATCGGGGACCCGCCTGCCTTTCTTTCTTAGAGACTGCTGGCCCTGGCCGTCTGCTATACTCATGTACTCAGCCAGAGCAGGTGCTCCCCCCTCCCCAGCACTACCAGTAGAGGGAGCCCTGTGCTGGGCTCCCAGCTGGGGGTGGGCCTGGAAGAACCCTCCTTGCCCCTGGGGGCCGTCCCATCGCACTCCCACCCCATCCCCACCAGCCTGTATCTCAGACCCTTCCACCCCAGCAGGAGACTGAAGATGGTGCTCCAGACCTGCATTCGTACTGGCCAGTCCTCCCTTAGGTGGCCGCTCTGGGTCCCTCCCTCCCTTCACGTTGGTGCTCTCAGCTCGTAGGTGCTGTGCCCTGGCCTTCAGGACAGGGTGGCCACTGGGCCCAGGGAGCCAGGGCTGAGCTGCCCAGCACGGCTCCCTGAGACGCTATGGGGTTGAAGCAGAGAAGATGGCATGTCCCTAGAGCAAAACACATTCTTTCATAAACACTGTACACTTCTACCCACCAGCCCAGGGATGCGGGCGGCTCGGGAACCAGTGTAGGTCCTGCAAATGAGTGCTGGGCTTCCGCTGACGTGCCACGTGTAGCTCATCCTACAGAACCGATGTCCACGTATACTTGAGTGTTGGGATACCAAGTACCCACATGTCTGGACATGCTGGGTCTCAGGTGCAGCTGGCACGGGCAGAGTCTCAAGCCCATTGGGGGCCACGCATGCGTCCACACACTAACTGTGGTACCAATGTCCACAGCGGCCCCCGTTATCTGAGCCCCAGTACTGTGCCCACCCAGATGCCCCCAGAGTAGCAAGCGTCAAGACGCCACCACACAGGGAGGCAGGTGGCAGGCGCAGGATGACCGTGGGGCCCTGTGGCCCGGGCGTCTGGCGCTGGTGCCTGGGCTGGCTTTGCCAGGGCAGCTGTCTCGGGGCGTCATGCTGCTGACTGTGGGCTGCTGCAGGAAAGCCTGGGGGGCTGCCCGGTGGCCCTTGCTCAGGAACCCCTAAGGAACCCCCTAACGACTAAGACAGCCCCCTCTTGAGGCCCTGTGAAGTGGCTTGCCTGGCCAGCAGGGACTAGCCCACAAATGGTGACTTATATATTTATTTATCCACCCCTAGGACGCATCCTTCTGCTCAGGGGTCAGCAGCGGACCCTCCCCTTCCCTCCCACCCACCCGTCATTTGGTCAAATGGTTCATCCACCGGTCGCTTCTTTTTGTCATGTCTCAGCCTTTGTTTGTAACTCAAGCTTTGCTGTTTTTACGGTGAACTCTGTATCTGAACTGCGTGCGTGCGTGCGTTGTCACGGTCCCCTGCGGGCTGCTGCCTGGCCCTTCCCATGGCACTTCGCCGCATCCTGCATTTCCACCTCTAGATGCTGTAATAAAGAGACTGTTTTCACTTGGACCTGGTCTGAGGTTTATTCCTGGGTGACACAAGGCATCCCTCAAGCGGGACCATCCCCTGGCAACAGCTGTGGGCGCCAAGACTGGCAGAGGTGCCCAGGAGGGTTCACACTGGTCAAGCTGGGGCCCCGGGGCGGCCTTTCCTCCGTCTTCCCTCTGAGGAACACAAACCAGCTGACGTGGGGCCCTGTTGGCAACACGGGTAACACCCTTGGCCTTTACCACGTCCTATGGGGGAGAGGCCAGTCGAGGTTCCAGCCACACCCAAGGGGCAGTGCCCTGAACACCAGGGCTGGGACTACAGTCACCTTAGGATTCCTGCAACCCCACTGTGCCCCCATCCCTGGGATCCCAACTGCCCGGACACCGTCCCTGGCTTGGGAGCCTAGGTCTCCTTCAGTGCAGGTGACCCAGCCCCTGCCCCTCAGGCACTTCAACACTGAAGAGACTGCCACCCCTGAGCACCTCCCTTCCCTCAGAGCAACGGGCTCCCCAGCCCCTCTTCCTTCACTCCACCACCATCCACCACGGAACAGAGGTACCTTTATTTAAACAAAACAAGACGTTGGCCCGGGGTGACCCCTCCCCAGGAGTTCAGCAGATTCACAGCTGGTTGAGGGAGACAGCCCCTCGCCATTCACAGCATCGTCTAGCTTAGTCTAGCTGAGTACATTTGCCCGGCGCAGGACAGGAGCCGCGCCAGCCCAGGATGGACACGGCTGAGGAGCTGGGGCAGAGCTCCTGGGAATGGACGCTCGTGCATGGCAGCAGCACGCAGCACCAAGTGCCAGACCAGTCCAGTGGGTCCCAAGGCACAGGGAGAGCAGCTTGCCGGGTCACTTCTCCAAAAAGGCACCCCCTGCCCACCCTCACCCTGCCTCGGGCTTTGGTCTTCAAACCCAAAGGCCTCCCACTGAAAATCCAGGCTTGGATGGGGCAGGAGGCCAGCCCGTCTCATGCCTTTAAGCTGCTCAGCTGGAACCTGGCTTCCTCAGATATGCCAAACTGCTCCAAGGGGTCCTGTGGGGCAGACGGGTGCCATGAGCCGGGCCTGGAGGACCACCCCTGCCACCCCCATCCCCGCACGCACCTTGCCTGTCATCTTCTGAATCTCCTTCCTGTAGAAGATGAGGCTTCTCCGCATGAACTCGTAGCTGCAGGAGAGGGCAGTGCTCTGTCAGATTCCCACTTGGCAGAGCCGCTGTGCCCCAGACCCCAACTCTCCCCATACCCCACTGGGCCCCACCTTGCCCGACGCAGAGCCTCCGTCCACTCCTGACACTGCTCCTCGCTGCAGCACTCAAAGTAGTACTTCCTTTCCGGGTCCTCGATGAAGCCTGGGGAGGGAGCCAGTCCCTGCTCTGCCAGCCAAAAGGCTCAGCTTCCTCTTGCCGATGCCCCAAAACCATCCCCCTCTGGCCCCAGCATCCAGTCATCCTTCTGCCTGTCATGGGCTGAATTTCGCCCCCAAAACCTAGGAAGATAGCCCTAAATCCTATCTGACCGGTCTCTTTATAAAAGGGGGAAACTTGGGACTCCGAAACGCACACAAGTAAAACTCCCTGTAAACATCGAGGTGACGCTTCTACAAAACAAGGAGCGCCAAAGATTGCCGGCCACCACCCGAAGCCCATAGACCCAGAAATTGGCCTCAGAAGGAGCCAGCCTTGATCTTGAACCTCTGGCCTAGGAACTGTAAAGAGATGTTTCTGGTACTCAAGCCACCCAGTATGCGTAACTCTTACGGAGACCCTGGCAAACCGGGAGAGGCCCCACCGTCCCCTGCACACGTGCATCTCCCACGGAGACCCGGGAGCATCCCGAGTCCGCAGCACCAGGCTCAGCACCCCAGAGAGCGATGGTTCTGGTGGAGGCTCAGGAAGCGACTCGGCCGGCTACCCAACCCGGCCCCGTGCGCACAGCCGGGCTCCCACGGGCGGGAGCCTCCAGGGCACCTGGCAGGTGCGCGGGACGGCCCGGGGCGAGGGCCTGACCTTGAACTGCCCGCGGACAAGGGACTCTCGTGCCCAGGGGGGGCCCGCGGCCGCGCCCCCCGCGCACTCACTGATGGAGAAGCCGCTGGGCTCCTCTCGGGCGACTCTGCAGCGCTCCAGCAGCAGGGCTCCGACGGGCTGGGGAGATACGGGGCGCCGGCCGTGAGCACGCGGCCCACGGGGACCCCCGCCCTGGCCCGCACCCCGCGCCCCTACCTCGGCCTCGTCCGTGCGGAAGTAGAAGAGGAAATTCACCACCAGTTTCACCAGCCGCCGCTTCACCACTGCGGGCACAGAGCGGGCTCAGGGCGGCCGCGGGACCCCGCCCCGGCCCCCCGCTCGTCCGCGCCCCACGCCCCGTCCCCCGGCCCCGCTCACCGCTGCCCTTCTTGGGGCCACGCATGCCCAGCTCGGCCGCCAGCTCGGCCGGCTGCCGGGACAGCGCCTGCAGCTCCTTCTCGTTGTAGCGCATGGCGCCGGGGACCGGGGGCACCGCGGGGACCGGGGCGCGGGCCGGGCCGCGGCCGGCGCCAAAAAGGTCTCGGGACGCAGTTCCGGAAGCGCCGCGCGAGCTGCTGCGTCTGCGCGCCCGGGACCGACCTTTCCCGCCGGCACCACTGGGGGGCGCTGGCGCCCCGGGGACCGCACGTAACTTTGAAACAGGAAATAACCCGGACCCGGGTGGAAGGAGAACAAAAGCACCACCCCCCTGCGACTGGCGGCGCCCTCCCCGACGGTCGCCGGGAGCAGGCGGAGGGCGCAGTAACGTTTTAGGGAGGCTCAGTCCGCCCTCTCGCGAGAGCCACTCCTGCGCTGCCTGGAGCCCACGGAAGGCTGACTGAGAGTTTTGTGCGCACGCGCACCTCGACTTCCAGCCGCAAGTTTAGCCCCGCCCCCTTGAGCCCTTTCCCTCGCGCCTCCGCAGAGCCTCTGGCCCGCGCGCAGGACGGGCCGGGCATGCGCACGCGGCAGGCTTCTTCCCGTTTGCCCCGGAAGTGCTTCCTTTGCCCGCGGCGCGCGTGCGCAGAGCCAAGTCGTGGCGGTGGCCCGTAAGGCGGCGACAGCAAGGCCTCAGGCGCGGGTGAGTAGCGGCCCCGGGTGTGGGCGGCGACCGCCGGGATCCCGGAGTTCCCTAGAGGCGGGCGGATGTGGGAGCGAGGCGCTTGCGACGGGGGACACGGGCTGAGGGGCGCGCGGGCGGCCTCCTTCCTCCCGCGGATGTCAGGCCTCCCTCACCGGCGCCCCGCGCTGGGCGGGATTCTCCTCCCTGTCGGCTCGGCGCTCTCTCGGCAGACCCGTTAGGGTCCGGTCGGGGATCGCGGCTAAAATGGCCTCAGGCGCCTTCCGTGTATCCCAGGGCTTTTCCGAGTCCTAACTTATATCTGTTAGCTGACTGGCTTTGGGATCGTGGAGGGTCACTGAAGGACACCGCGAGCATTAGTTGTCTTAACTGTTAAGACGGGAGTAACAGCCTGAGCTCCACGCCGGGGGCGACCTGAGTCGGTAGCTGGCCCGCTTTGCAGTTGCATCCCCGGGCGCTGAGACTTAGGTGCCCGTGTCCGCCGCTCCCATCTGCCATTTGACAGCACAGAACAGCCGGGAGGACCTCCGAAAAATAGATTGCTTGCTCGATTTAAGGAGATAATGGTATTTCCACCCAAGACGGTAATTAGTCCCTGATCGCTGGTCCAGTCCCAGGCCCCAGAGGCTGCCTCTCCTCAATTCTTAAAGCCGTTTTCGCTGATCTTTATCTTCATAAATAACACACTTCTTTCTGGATGTGTCGACTTCTAGATACCATCCGACTTCTAGATACCATCCGCTGATTTCCTATCATGGGCGGTGAGATCTTACTTTTCCCTCCCATCCTCCCATCCCAGCGTCACCTTCTATACTCTAAATGAGTTTATATCACAAGCTTTAGTCAGATTAGTGGTCACGTTTTCTAAGGCTGAAAATACTGTTGACTGATAAACCACATAATTCGTTCAACCGGACTTCTTTACCCGCCTCCCCACCACCAAGCTAATTAACTTTGGGATTTTCTTTTTTGTTTCACTAGCCTGGTTTTTATTTCACTTGTTATTTTTTTCCTCGAAGCTTCAACGTCTCACACACCTATCCAAGTGTATTTTCCACAGTTTTTGATAAAGTGATATCCCCTTCTCCTCCTGCCAGACTCCCAAATCCTTTTGCTCTAAATTGGACTGGTTGCTGTCTAGCCTTGCAGCAGAGCTGTTTTCCCAGACCTTTGTGTCATTTCTCTCCTGGGCTGGCTTCTGTTTTCCATCTTGCCATATCTGTTCTTCTCTGTCTTTTTTTTTTTCTACAAGTGTGGAATGAAGTTTATTGAGGAAGGACAAGGTAGATTTACAGAACAAGATACAGGTTTACAGAGTAAGAGCAAGATACGTTTGCTGCAGGACAGCAAATGGACACCTCTGTTGTAACAAAAGGGCCTCTTTTTTTCGTCATTCTATCCGAGCAGATCTCCTGGTAGCTTCTGAAGTAATAGGTGATTTTTTTTTTTTTTTGAGTCCGTGATTATCCGAAAAATGACTTTATTTTACTCTTGTACTTAGAAGTTTGGCTGGGTATAAAAATCTAGGTTGAAAGTTTGCATTCAGATAGCAAAAGTGTTGCTTTAATTTTCAGTGTTGCTCTTGAAAGGTCTGACCCTATTCTGGTTTCCGATCTTTTGTTTCCATTTTTCTTTGTGTCTAGCAGAAGCCTAAAATTTTCTTTAGTGGTGTAAAATTTCCTGATCCATTTATTGAGGGTCTTTTATTTGTTGATCTGGGTGGGTCCTTACTACCTGGACAATTAGATCCTTTTCGTCCTGAGATTTTTTTTTTTTTAATTTCTTTAATAATACTCTTAGTTGTTTGATAATATTCTGCAATTTTTATTTTGTTGGATTTTATTTTTTCCTGTTCTCACTCTGGAATTTCATCTAGGCTCTTGCTTTTCCTCCTATTCTTTTTCAATTTTTTGTTGTTCTTTATGAAAGATTTGACTCTTACCTTGTGGCTCTGGTGTTGAAATTTTTGTTTGGATCCTCCCGTTTTTACTTTTCAGGGGCTTCTTTTTGGTTTAACTTGACTTTTTATCACTTGACTTCCCGTTCTAGCTTCAGGGCACAGTAACTTCCTCAATAATGAAGAAGAATGTTAGCGACTTCTTTGTTAGGGTTTCCATTGAGTTTCTTTTTTCTCAGATACATCTTGAACATCTCCTGTGCATTAGGCAGTGAGGATCTGCAGGCAGACGTCTTCCTGCCTCCAGCGAATTTACAGCTGAGCCCAAGAAATAGAATTTAAGTTGGGATGTCCACCAGAAAGGGACTTCCGAGGAAGGAGTAAACACTGGAGGCCTGGGCAGTCAGGGAAGGCTTCGTGGAGGTGGTGACTCATTGTGAGAACTTGGCCTTGTCTTGCCTGATTGGGCCTTCTGTGGGCTCCACATTGCTATTTCACTCTGGGCTGTGACCTCCTTGTCACCCTGCTCCATGCTCACCTGCAGACATGCACATGATCCTTTAGGACCCGTGTCAGGAGCCTCTCAAAACAGGTTCCGGCTTCCTGTTTCTGTGCCTGTCCCACAGGGGCCCCGGCCTTCTGGAACAGACTCGGTGGACTAGGGCGTGGTCCCCTGGCCTGGCTGGATTCTGGGTGGTGGGAGTGCAGGGAGAGGGCCGGTCCCAGCCGTAGCCACTGCACCTGAGCCGTCATAGTCACTCTCCTCTTTCTCTGCAGGCTTCACCTCAGTCTGCTGAAGCCCCAAGGCCGGCACCATGGACTTCCAGCATCGGCCCGGGGGCAAGACCGGGAGCGGGGGCGTGGCCTCTTCCTCCGAGAGCAACCGTGACCGGCGGGAGCGCCTCCGGCAGCTGGCCCTGGAGACCATCGACATCAACAAGGTGGGCCCTGCCAGGGGGCACACGGAGGGGGAGGGCAAGCAGGGGCCTGCGGTGAGGGCAGGGATCCAGGATGGCCAGGAAGAGGCACTGCAGGGCTCTACCCGAGATCCGGCCCCTGCCCACACTGGGCAGGGAGCTCGACCTCAGGACTTGACCCTGGCTTGTACGGAGACCCCAGTGGGCCTGGGCCAGTTGATTCTCTGCGGTGGGGCCGTCTTGGGGACCACAGGGTGCTGAGCAGCATCCCTGCCTCCACCCACTCCGTGCCAGGGGCCCTCCCCAGCAGTGACAACCAGTGTCCCCAGACGTTGTCCTCTGGGGTAAGACCCCTGGCGTCAGCGTGTGGTTCCCTTTAGACTGTGAAGTTCACCAAGACATGCTGAGCCCTTGCCGTGTGCTGGGTGCCCCTGAAGCGCCCCATGGGCCTGGCTTGTGAAGTGGTTCTGTTACTGTCCCCATCTCCCAGATGAGGAAGCAGGTTCAGAGGGGGATGGCACAGCCATGGGTGGTGGGGTTGGGATTTGAGCCCTGGTCTGTCTGCTCTGGTGCCTAAGGTGAGAAGTGCGTGCCCCGGCACCTCTGCTTCTAAAAGGAGGGAGCCCAGCTGCCCCGGCTCAGGACCTGTAGGAACGTGGGTCTTCAGGCCACTCGTTTGACCCATTTGCTTTTCTTCTGCCTGTGTCTGGCTCGTGCCAACACTTGGCCCGTTGGTGTGGTTAGGGGACAGACCCCTGGCCCGGGAGACGGTGACCAGCAGTGCTGTCCTGGCTCCTCCCCGCTTAGACTCAGAACTGCCCAGAATGTGGGCCTGGGATTCCCCAGAGTCAGGCACCCTGGCCCTGCCGAGTCGGCCCCTGCACTTTCATGAGACCCCGGTGGTCTGCACTGGTGTCACCAAGGCCTCCTGCCGGGCCACAGACCCCAGTCTCGCCTGGTCCTGTGTCTCGGAGACACTCGACCAGCCACGAAGGACAGCTGAGAAAAGGGCAGTCCTACCTCGGAGTGCCCTGCCACAGGGCAGGGACAGTTCGATGTGGGTGTGATCCCCCGCTGTCTAACCAGACTGTTCCTTCCCTCCCCAGGACCCCTATTTTATGAAAAACCACCTGGGTTCGTACGAATGCAAACTCTGCCTGACGCTGCACAACAATGAGGTGCGTTCTCGCGGCTCCCGTGGGTCTGGCTGGAGCCAGGCTTCCCGAGGCACTGCCCTGCCCCACAGCTTCCTCCCCCTGCCCGGCGCAGTGTGTCCCTGCAGCTCTGTGCCACCCCGTCCCTGGCACGTCCCGGCCCCCACACCTGTCCCCTGAGACAGTATTACAAGCCTGGACCCACCACTCAGAACTGACCACTCACTCGCTGGGGAGTTCGCTGCAAGTCATAACCTTTTGTGGAAGACATTGGTGGCTGTAGGTACAGGCTGAGTCCCCTTGTCCCCAGCTCCATCCTGGACTCCCGGCCCCCGAAGCCACCACCACTGCCGGTTTGCTGGGTGTGCTTGTTTGGACACTGTTGATACCACGTTTCATATAGCGTGTGTCTGTGAGCAGGAGGTGCAGCGTGAGTGACAGGCACTATCACGTGCCTTTTGTGTCAAGTGTCCCACAAATAATAACACATCTGTCACTTGGCAGTGGTTTTCATGCTACGTTGTGGTTTCGAGATCTAGTCAGCTGGGTGTGGCTCCAGATCACTCTTAAGGGTTGTAAGATTGTCCAAGTGACACTCCAGTGAATAGCCACTGGACCATCATCCACGTAGGACTAATTCATTCACTAAGGAGCAGATTTTGTTTATTTTTTTGCACGTTGAACATTTGGTTTGCTTCTGACTCATTCATATCTGCAGAGAGGGCTGAAGGGAGCAGTCCTGTAGACCCCCTGCCCCCCGACTCCTGGATGGTTCTCTGCGGTGGGATGTCCTGGGCAATATAGGTGCTGAGCAGCGTCACTGCCTCCACCCACTCCTTGCCAGGAGTACCCCCAGTGTGACAACCACAGATGTCCCCAGACATGGCCCAGTGTCCCCTGGGGGGTTGCAGGGTCACCCCAGCGAGACCCGCCCAGTGGATGCATTGTGTCCTGCCCATGCGGGTATGCTGGAGATGAAACGGCGGGTCACAGAGCACACTGGTTGCCGAGCAGCTGTCCACAGCCCAGGTGGGTCTAGCTGTGCTCGCTGCAGTGTCCCGCACTCCTGAGGCTTCCCGTCTCCCTCTGCAAACCGGCTGGAACTGGTTTCCTCAGCACAGGTCAGGTGCCTGCTTTGCTCCAGGCCCCTCCAGTTACTCGGTCCCTGCGGACAGGCCAGCCTGGCTCCTCTCTGGGCCCCACTCACGGCAGGCCTTGGCGAGGGCTGCCGGGCTGGGTGGTGACGGCTCCACTTTGGAGCAGGGACCTGCCCCCTTTGCCTGTGCACTTGGCCTTGACTCGTGTTTCCTTCTCCACCCCAGGGGAGCTACCTTGCACACACCCAAGGAAAGAAGCACCAGACCAACTTGTGAGTACCTCACGCTCGTGCCCCCGACCCATGGCTGATGCTCGCACCCCCATGAGCCCTCCCGACCCGGCTCCCAGGTGGTGGTGCCGGAGTGAGGTCTCCGACGGGTGTTGGAGAGCAAGGAGGTGTGGCGAGAACCCATCACTGTTTCATCCCCAGAGTAGATGAGCTCCAAGGTCAGGGCGGGGGGACTGCCAGCACCAGGGCCTGTGGCCTTGGTGGTCTGGCACAGAGAAGGGCCCCAGTGCCACGTCTGTCCTGCCCACAGGGCCCGGCGAGCAGCCAAGGAGGCGAAGGAGGCCCCTGCCCAGCCCGCGCCCGAGAAGGTCAAGGTGGAGGTGAAGAAGTTTGTGAAGATCGGCCGCCCGGGCTACAAAGGTGAGTCTGTCTGGGAGTGGCGCCGCTGGCAGCTGCTCCACAGCATGAATGGGCTCTTTGGGCTCAAGCGCAGGAGTCAGGACCTGACACCCTCGTCCCTGAGCCTCAGAGCCACTCTGAGGCTCACAGTCCTCTGGCCTGTGAGGGCATCCCTCACCCACGCACAGCCTCTCAGCGTTGTCCAGGATGCTGGGTGAATGTCCGTCCCACCCGGCAGCCCTTCCCTGGCTGAGCCGGGGTCCACACCCTCCTTGTCCTGCTGGCCGGTGCGTGTGGAGCTCGGCCTCCCCTCTGCGCTCTCCTGTTGGGGCATCGCGGAATCTCTTGGGAGTTACTTACACTCCAAGCAAAGTAAAAGTAGCGGGAGGGCACTGGGACCCTGGTACGTGCTCATCACCTCAGGAGAGGACAGGGAGAGGAGTCTGGGAGCAGCTCACCAAGTGGGACTGTCTGGGGTCGGCTGTCCCAGCAAGCTGGGTGAGTGGCCAGGCTGGAACAGGGATTGAGTTCTGCGAGTTGCAGAGGGAGGAGGGCCACCTGCCTAGCCAGTGTGCTTCACAGACGCTGGGGCGTGCTGTGCACCCAGCGCTGCACACGGGACACCGCAGTGCCTACGTGACCAACGAGGGCTGGCTGGAGCCCTGGGGTCCAGGTGGGCAGGCCATGGCAGGGTCTTAGGTATGTCCTCAGCACACTGGGGAGACAGATGTGCCCTGGGGCCATGTGGGGAACAGCCAGGAGGCAGGTGGCCCACCACCCCCAGCAGCTGAGCTATGATGTGCAGGGGTTCAGGCTGGCCTCACTCTGGTGGCAAAGTGGCCTCTCCCAGACACGAAGTCCCTGGCTCCTGCCCGGTGGTGTCCTAGCGTCCAGGCATAAGGGGCAAGACCTATGCCAGGACCTCTAGGGGCTGTGAGGCTGAGCACCCTGTTGGATGGCATTTCCTGGTGGGCTCTGGGGACAGGGCCCACCTTCCAACCCCTGCCTGGGTGATCTTGGGCAGGTGACCTGGCCCTGGCACACCTGTGCCTCACCTGTAGCACAGAGCACCAGGCCAAGTGAGCCCATCCAGCCCCGGAACCTCCCTGGCATCCTGCCCTCCTGTTGAGTGGGCTGAGATAGCTGGGGATGAGCCGGCCCTGACCCAAGGCCCTTGTGTGTTGCAGTGACAAAGCAGAGGGACTCGGAGATGGGCCAGCAGAGTCTCCTCTTCCAGGTGAGATGAGGCCCCCAGGTGTCGGGCATGAGGGGAGGGGGTCCCAGAGGTGCCCCCTGAAGGGCGGTGCTGCCACGTGGCTGTGTCCCCACAGATTGACTACCCCGAGATTGCCGAGGGCATCATGCCGCGCCACCGCTTCATGTCTGCCTACGAGCAGAGGATCGAGCCCCCCGACCGGCGCTGGCAGTACCTGCTGATGGCTGCAGAGCCCTACGAGACCATCGCCTTCAAGGTAGTATGGCTGCATGGGGTCCCAAGACCCCATGGCACGTGGAATCAAGAAGGGTCTGCACAGTCCAGGCGGGGGCGGCTGCCAGCCTACTCCAGGGCGCCCCTCCCTTTGGCTGGAGGTGTCCCTACTGAGCGTACCCTTCTTCCCGGGGGAGGTGCTTCTAGTGACTGCCACTGTGGCCATGAAGTGCAGACCCAGATCTATGAGGTCTTGGCCAGGGGACTTAACCCCCAGGGGCTACTGTAACCTGTGCCTCGTGCCTGCACTGGGCAGCAACAAGTAATGTAACTGCAGCTTCCTCAGAGTGGCGGGATTGGCAGGCAGCTGAGCCAGAATCTGCCCCAAGTCTGTGTTACCTCAAAACTGAACCTTGTTCCCCTACAAAAAGCCGTATCAGGCTGGGCCTCCCCGAGGCTCCGAGGGGGGATCCCCTTGTGGACCTGGGAAGCTGGCGCCTCAGGCTCTGTTGAGCTCTCTGCCTGGATGGCAGCCCTGCAGCCTTGGGCCCTCGTCCTGAAGGCCAGGGACCAGGAGTCCTCTCTGTCACCCTGCCCCCAGGTGCCCAGCAGAGAGATTGACAAGGCTGAAGGCAAGTTTTGGACTCACTGGAACAGGGAAACCAAGCAGGTCAGTTATGCGGGCCCTGGGCAGTTCGGGCCTTCTGGCGGCACCCTGCCTGGCCATGTCCTCGTGCCCAGGGCCCTGCCGAACCTCTTTGTTTCTCTCTAGTTTTTCCTCCAGTTCCACTTTAAAATGGAAAAGCCCCCGGCTCCGCCCAGCCTCCCCGCTGGGCCTCCCGGGGTGAAGCGGCCCCCACCCCCGCTGATGAACGGGTTGCCCCCAAGACCGCCACTCCCCGAGTCCTTGCCGCCACCCCCGCCAGGAGGCCTGCCTCTGCCACCTATGCCTCCCACAGGGCCTGCACCCTCAGGGCCCCCAGGACCTCCCCAGCTGCCCCCACCAGCCCCCGGGGTCCACCCCCCAGCACCAGTGGTCCACCCCCCCACCTCTGGGGTCCACCCCCCCGCCCCCGGGGTCCACCCACCAGCACCAGTGGTCCACCCACCAGCATCTGGGGTCCATCCCCCAGCTCCAGGGGTCCACCCACCAGCTCCAGGGGTTCACCCACCGGCCCCAGGGGTCCATCCTCCATCAGCTGGGGTTCACCCCCAGGCCCCTGGAGTGCATCCCCCAGCTACTGCAGTTCACCCCCAGGCCCCGGGGGTGCATCCACCAGCCCCAGGGATCCACCCCCAGCCTCCTGGGGTCCACCCCTCAGCTCCTGGGGTGCATCCTCCAGCTCCTGGGGTCCACCCCTCAGCTCCTGGGGTCCACCCCCAGCCCCCTGGAGTCCACCCCTCAAATCCCGGGGTGCACCCAACTCCCATGCCTCCTATGCTGAGGCCCCCACTCCCCTCCGAAGGCCCAGGGAACATACCTCCTCCTCCCCCAACCAACTGAAGAGCTGCCCGCTGACCCAGTGCCCCTGGTGTTCTGTGTCCCTGCGTTTTCCCGCTAGAGAAGTCCCGTCTTTTGTACTGTCCCGAGCTCATTAAACAGCTTCCCCCGTGCCTGGCGGGACTGATGTGTGCGGCGGCTGTGGGACCCAGTGGGCTGCTAGTGGACGCTAGGTGTGCCGGGTGGAGGCCCACCACTACCACGCACAGGGCAGCTCAGGGCCAGGACCAACTGGGGGGACCACGCAGCCCCCCAGGAGACACTTGTGGGTGGCCAGGGTGGCAGCTGGCCCCTGGGAGGCCTCCTTGTGGAGGACAGACCTGTCAGCCACGAGTGGGTCTGGGAGCCCATCCTCGGGGACGGCAAGAGCAGACTCCTCGCTGCCCTTTGGGGTGTCTAGGCAGCCCCCCGGGGTGCAGAGACCAAGCTGAATTTGGGGGCATCATCCTCTTCCAGGCCCACCCACCCACGGGCCAGAACACAGGACATCTGGTCTCTGCCCTCCCTGCGCCACCCCTGCACAGATCCGCCACTGTCTAGTCTGGCCGCCCCCACTGCTCACTCCTTGCTCTGGTTCCCATCCCCTCCGGAGGGGAGAGCCCCTCAAGGACAGGGTTTGACACGTCCCTCGCAGGCTGAGAGGGGAGATAGGCTGCCAGCCGGCACAGAAAGGACTCTTTGAGAAGGTCACTCAGGCCTGGGCTCTGGGGGCGCTGGGCATTGTCCCCCAAGGTCACATAGAGGAGATAGGGCCTGCCCTCCTCCCGCACAAACATCCCACCCTTGGCTGGGCCCATTTAAGCCCAGGCAGCGCAGCCCTGGCAGCACCCACGATGCGGGGCCTGTGTCTCCCTCGCCTGGCTCTGCTGCTGCCGGCCATGGGGGCTCTGCTGGTGGCCGAGACCCCGCGAACAAAGCAGCCAGCCACCAGCACAGGGGGTCTCATCTTCCACGAAGACTGGGACTGGCCGCCAGGCAGCCCACAGGACCCCTTGTGCCTGGTGACCCTGGGTGGGGGTGGAAACCACAGCAGTGCCCCCTTATGGGTGGCAGGGTCCCTACGCAGCTACGAGCGGGCCTTCCTGGGGGCTGTACAGCGGACTCACTGGGGCCCCCAAGACGTGGCCACCTTCGGGGTCTGCAGCTCCAGCGACAAACAGGCCACCCTGCCCCTTCTGCAGCGCCTGGGGGCCTGGCTGGGGGCGCCAGGGGGGCAGCGGCTGCTGGTCCTGCACCTGGAGGAAGGTAGGTGGGGGCCCAGAGGGCAGCACCACCTGCATCGTTTAAGGCAGCTGGGGTCCTCCCAAGGGAGACTGGGTGCTGGGGAGCCCCACCCCCCGCAATCCATGGCCTGGGAGGGGGTCACCGCGATCTTCCTGTCTGGGATCAAGTCCCCATGACCCACTCTCAGACCTGCCCCTCCCACAGTGCCCAGGGAAGGCGTCACTCGCCCCATCCACAGAGAGTCCAAGGATATGTGGCCACCAGAGCTCGGGGATTCCTCCTCCCCACACCCCAGGCAGCCTGCCCCCTGAGATCCCCCACCCAGAGACCCCAAGGCTGCAGCCCCACCCCAACCCTGACTTGGCCACCGCCCACCGGTCACTCTTCCCTGGCTGCAGGAGGCAGCAGAGGGGGCCACCAGTGTCCCTCCCTTCAGGGTCCAGAGCAGCAAGAATGGATCCCAAAGGCTCCCTGCCAGGGTGGGGGCTCTCCCTGCAGGACAGGTTGGGGAGGGGCCTGGGCCTCCACGGCTCAGGTGTCGCCTTGTCCTGGCTGCAGTGACCTGGGAGCCGACACCCTTGCTGAGGTTCCAGGAACCCCCACCTGGAGGAGCCAGCCCCCCAGACCTGGCGCTGCTGGTGCTGTACCCAGGGCACGGCCCCGAGGTCACTGTCACTGGGGCTGGGCTGCTGGGCGCCCAGGTACCAGGGATGTGCACGCCCTGGGTCCTGGGAGTCCTCACGTTGCAGGGGAAGGGGGATGGATTTGTTAAAAGGTGGACGCTTCACAGGAGGGCTGAGTGAGAGCTGAGTCAAGTCTGGGATTTGGAGGGGCGGTGGGAGGAAGGGATGGACAGCAGGGCTGGGCAAGTCGCTGCTGCCGCCCCAACCCAGCCAGGCTGGGCTGATCCCGCAGAGCCTCTGCCCGTCCTGGGACACCCGCTACCTGGCGCTGGCCCTCGACCGCCCAGCTGGGGCCTGGAGCGGCTCCGGGCTCGCCCTGACGCTGAGGCCCCGCGGAGACGGTAGGTCCGCGGAGAGGGGCTGGGCGTCGGGCCGGCTGCCCAGGGCCGCAGCGCTTGAGCCAGCCTCGCGCCCGCCCGCCGCAGGTGCCCCCCTGAGTACAGCCCAGCTGCAGGCGCTGCTGTTCCGCGACGACCCCCGCTGCTTCACGCGGATGACCCCCGCCCTGCTCCTGCTGTCGCGGTCCCAGCCCGCGCCGCTGCCTGCGCATGGCCAGCTGGACACGGTGCCCTTCCCGCCGCCCAGGTGCGCTCAAGCGGGGAGCAGGGGGAGTGGGCCGGCGGGGGCGGCGCTGCCTGGCACCCGCTCTCAACTCCCCCCACTGCGGGTTTCAGGCCGTCCTGGGAATCTGAGGAGGAGCCGCCGCCCAGCGCCGACCCCTTCCTGGAGACGCTCACGCGCCTGGTGCGGGCGCTGCGGGGCTCTCCGGGCCCCGCCTCGGCACGGCGCCTGGCCCTGGACCCGGGCGCGCTGGCCAGCTTCCCGCAGGGCCTGGTCAACCTGTCGGACCCCGCGGCACTGGAGCGCCTGCTCGACGGTGAGGAGCCGCTGCTGCTGCTGCTACCAACCACCGCGGCCACAGCCGGGGACCCCGCACCACCGCAGGGCCCCGCGTCGGCGCCGTGGGCCGAGAGCCTGGCGCGCCGCGTGGCTGCTGAGCTGCAAGTGGTGGCCGCCGAACTGCGCGGCCTCCCGGGCCTGCCGCCGGCCGTCGCCCCGCTGCTGGTGCGCCTGCTCGCGCTGTGCCCGGGCGACCCCGGCCGCCCTGGCGGCCCGCTGCGCGCACTGCTGCTCCTGAAGGCGCTGCAGGGGCTGCGCGCAGAGTGGCGCGGGCGGGACCTGCGCGGGCCGGGGCGGGCGCAGCGCAGCGCGGGGACCGCCACCACCGACGGGCCGTGCGCACTGCGCGAGCTCAGCGTGGACCTCCGAGCCGAGCGCTCGGTGCTCATCCCCGAGACGTACCAGGCCAACAACTGCCAAGGCGCGTGCGGCTGGCCGCAGTCCGACCGCAACCCGCGCTACGGCAACCACGTGGTTCTGCTGCTCAAGATGCAGGCGCGCGGGGCCGCCCTGGCGCGCCCGCCCTGCTGTGTGCCCACCGCCTACGCGGGCAAGCTCCTCATCAGCCTGTCGGAGGAGCGCATCAGTGCGCACCACGTGCCCAACATGGTGGCCACCGAGTGCGGGTGCCGGTGAGCGCTCGCCTTGCGGACCGCTGCCCCCGACAGGCCCAGCGCGCCCCTTCCCATATTTATTCGGACCTCAGGCATCGCCCCAATAAAGGCCAGCAAGCACCTGGCTGGGGTGTCCGTGCGTATTCGGGAGCCCGTGGGGCCCCCTGCGCGTGCTCTTCTCGCGCTCCCGCTGTCTCTTTCCCCGTCGGAAGCACCCCGACCCCCTCATTCAGGCCCCGCGTGTGGCTCCGGGGTCCAGGCGCAAAGGAGTAGGCGACGCGGCGGCCGCAACACTCGCTTTTATTTCGCTGGAGCCGCGGGACACCGCGGGGCGTCGAGAAGGCGTCCAGGCACTCGTGCGCAGCACCCAGGCCTGCTCAGTCCCGCCCCTTGCCTGCGCGGTGCTTGTGGCGGCCCTGGGGCCGGTCCTGTTCGTCGGGGCGCCGCGGGGAGGCCCAGGCCTGCCTCTTCCTGTGCTCCGCGTCCCTGGAGTCCCGCGCCCACGGCCGACGGCCCCCTTCGCGCGCCTCCCAGCGCCGGGGTTCGGCTTCCCGGGGCTCCCTGGCTGCCCGCGGTCTCTCTTTCCTCGGCCTCTCCTCCTTCCGCGGCCTCTCCGCCTTCCTCTCCTGCTTTCTCTCCTCCCTTCTCGGCCTCTCCGCCTTCCTCGACCTCTTCTTGGGCCCTGGGTCTGCGAGGGGCGCGCGGTCCTCGCCGGGTTCCTCCTCGTCCTCTGCAGCCTCCTGACTCCCGGGAATCTCGGGCTTGTCCCCTGGCTTCGCCTGGGGTGCAGGCGGCCGGGGTAGGGGTGCCCAGGCCGTGGGCTTAGGCTGCAATGCAGACAGCGCGGTCCTGGGGTCAGCGCCCACCTCCCCCGAGGCCCGGCTCCCTTCCCCCCATAAAGGCCCCACTACCCGCTGTCACTGGGAGGTAGCGCTTACCGGGGGTGCCTCTGGCTCTTTTGGGGCTGAGCTTGGAGGGACCCACGACTCCGGGGCAGGCGCGGGGGCGACCACCTCTCCAACCACGGCGTCTAGGGGTGGTAGGATCCGGATGAGTCATCCAGGGCGGAGCGACCGACCACACCGTCCATCCCTCCCCCGCCCCTAGAGCCCGCTTCCTCGGGACAGATGGGGCCAGCGGCGCGCGCCACCGGGTGCGCTGAAGCTGGCTGGTCCGGATCCCTCCGAGAGAGCCGCTTCCCTCGGAACCTTCCTTTTTCCGGTCACAAAAGGACTGGTCATTCTTTCTTCGCGGGCTGTAGGAGCGTCCCCTACAGGCCTGCCCCTCGAGACTCTCACTAGTCGCCCTTAGCGCACAAGGCAGGCCGCGGAACAATATGGAAAGCGTTGCACGAGATCCGTGGGGAGGCGAGGGCCGGCTCACGTGGGACAGGGGCGCACAGGGCGCACCCTGGAAGGGGAAGAGCCCCCGCAAGGTCAACAGTGGGGCCTAGTCGTGACCATGGGGCGCACCAGGTCCAACCCTGAGGACAGAGTGCACAAGGTAGGGGAGCGGGAAGGGAGGTCCCCGCACAAGGCCCATCGTGGGGTGAGAGGGCGCGAAAGGCCGGTCGCTTAAGGGGAGATGCGCAAAGCTCTAGAGAGGGACGCAGGCCTGGCTACCGGGGCGCACAAGACCCTGCCTGGAGAGGCGGCTCCCAGCCCCAGCCCTTGTGGCCCTTCTCTGGAGAGGTGGGCGGGCACTCAGGTCGACCCCGCCCCCGCCCCGCCTTTGGGGAACCCAGCTCACCGCGGCACAGCTGGAAAGCCGAGCCCAGCAGCGCCACCAGCGAGGCCAGCACCAGGCACTTGTTGAGCGTGATTTCTCCCCAGGGCAGCTCCTCGCTCAGGGCCGGGGGCGGTGGCGGCGGCTGCGGGGGCGGCGCCGCCTGCGCCTTCTTGCGCGCAGGGGCGCTCCGAGGGGCTGCGGGGGCAAGGGTGGGCTGCGCTCTGGCACCGGTCTGAGCAGCCCGCGCGCACCGCAGGCGCAGGGAGCAAAGGGTGAGCTGCATCCTGAACCCGGCTCTGCCCCGCCTGGCTGTGTGGCCCTGGGCAGCTTCCGGGGGTCGCCCAGAGCTCCTGGAAGATAACTTGCTGGAGCTTAGGGCACCTTAGCTGCTGTCTTCACGCATTAGCTGAGGCTCCCAGCACATTTCGTCACTACCTGCCACTCCTGGATGCCACCCAGCCAGAAGCCCTGGCCGCATGCCCCCTTCCCACCTCCAGATCCAAGGACCCAGCCCCAGGGACCTGCCCCGTGCTGTCCCATGCCCACCCTCCACCTCACCCACACCCGCTGCAAACCCACTTGCTCCGGATTTCAGCCTCTCCTTCCCTGATCCTGGGGCCCCCCTGGCCGCAGGCTCCTTTTCTGTCTTCTTGGGCCTGGTATCCACACCGCCACCTTCAGCCATGGGCTCCTGAGTGTCCTGTGGGAATCAGGAGATGTTCTGGGTGTTTCCTTCCAGCCCGGACCCTTCCCATGGGCTTTAGAAACTCACCCCCCCCTTGACCTGCGTGTCCCTGGCTCGGGCTGAACCTGGAGGACCCAGCTACTCACGTGGGGCCAGCTGCTGGGGTCGGCCAGCCTGGGCGTCACTGTTGGTGGGAACAGAGGAAGAGTCAAGGTAGCAGGGACCCCCAGGCCAATCCTGCCCTCTCCCCCTGGCCCTGCCGGGTGGGCGACTGTTCCCATGTCATAGGCAGGAAAGCAGACGGGCTCAGAGACAGCCTTGCCCAGAAGCGAATATGGCTTTAGTGGCAAGGTGGGATTTGAGCCCGGGCATGTGTGGACCAGCACCTGTGTTCCTTAGGCACACTTTACAGACCCCTGGGGCAGAAATAGGGGCCTGGGGTTGGATGTGGGAAGAGAGCACAGTTCAAGGCAGTCCAATGTGGAGACTGCACCCTTGTCTCTGAAGCTGAGCCGCCTGGCTCTACGGCACCAATGGGGACGGGCGTCATCCCACCAGCGCCCGGAGGTACCTGGAGCCCCGTTGTCCTGTGGCTCAGCCAGCGCAGAGAGGTCCTCACCAGCCTGGCAGCTGCCCAGGCCTCCATCCAGCTCCTCCCAGCCTCTGGTCGCCATGGAGACGGCCAGAGCCAGGCCGCAGGTCCAGAGCGCCTGGGCGAGGTGGGAAAAAGTGTCTGGCATGTACTGAGCCCCCGCCACGGCCTGGGCCTCACCCGCGGGCTCTGCGGACACAGGTTTGCCGGCCCCTGCACTCCTGTGTCCGGGCCCTTGTTCTTAGCCTGGGGCACCCTTCACTTGGCAAATTCATCCTCATGCCAGGCATGGCCCTGCGTGCCTGCCTTGGGACCCCTCCCTAGAGCCCAGCCTCTCTCAGCACCCGTGAGCACATTAGCAAAGGCTGCTGGGGCCCAGAAAAGGCTGGAGCCCACCCAAGGTCACACAGCAATGAGTCAACCCGGAACCCATAGCCCCAGGGTCGGCTCATGTTCTCTGAGACCAGGGACTATTTTTATCTGGTGCCTGAGGCCAGCGGGATAGACCAACGGGTGGCATGGCCCCTCCCAGGCCTTTGCTCCCACGGGGTCTCCCTCCATGCCATCCCGACTTGCTATTCCTGGCACCCGGACCCCCTGTCTGACCCTGTGAGTCTAGAGGCACAAGCCCCGGCAGCCAGGTCCAGCCTGGCTCTGTTCCCATGTGCCAGATAAGGAAACAGGCTGGAGACCAGGCGTTGGCTGAAGGCTGTGTGAGCTTTGAAGTCAGACCCTGTATTTTGGGGTCCCTGTGGCCTCCAGCTGCCCGCAGTAAACTGTTCCCATCCCTGGGGCTCCAAGGCCAGAAAGGGGCCTGGAGCATGGAGTGGGGGAGGGGCCTCATGGGCAGGGGAACCTGGTGTGCGGCCCCTTGGTGTGTGTGTGTATGGGGGACAGCCACATGAGTTGAGGACCCCCGTGGACCTTGGCGACATCCTCCCAGACCTGGGGACCCACACCACTGCCCAGGCCACCCCCAGCCCCGCTTACCGGCCAGCCGCTGCGCTGAGCTTTGTGGCCGGGTTGGAGTACAGGGAGGGTGGCCCCCAGACAGACAGCAACAGGTGGCCGGACACAGCCATGTGGGCCAATCAGCATGGCCTTGGAGCAAGGGGGTGGGGCTAGCAGGCGGTCATGGCCAGGGAGTCCCCCACCCACCTGCTATTGCAGCAGGACAGGGCATTATCCTGGAGGGGAGTACCCCACCCCTATTTCAGCCCAGAGCCACTGTGAGGCCAGGGAGACTTGCCCCCTCTCTCCCTGTGGGGGGCTCGGCAGTCGCCCACAGGGGTGGAGGAGACCCTAACCGGTGGCCGGCAGAGCCCAGGGGCAGTAGGGAGGGCTCCCTGGAGGAGGAGGCGTCTCCATCAGTACGTCCTACACACCTGCAGCAAAAGAGCTGCCTGGAATCCAGGCTGTGCTGGCACTGGCGGAGGAGCCCAGGGACCTGTTTCCCCATCTAGAAAGTGGGGCCACTGCCTCCCAGGGTGGTGGCAGGGTGGAAGTGAGTTAACCCTCGCTGTATGACCACCCGATAGGCGTGGGCTGCCTCTGCGTATGGTTCTTCATCGTTCCACCTGCTCACACACCGATACCTTGGTTGGATCAGTCACCGAACACAGTTTGGGGACCAACACCCAGAGGCGAGGCCCCTTCTCCTCACACCCTATCGGGGACACCAAGTACCCAGGCGACATCACCTGATGCAGGTGGGGTCCCCGGGTTCCCCATGGCCGATTACCGTCTCCCCTTCGCACCCTCTTAGCCTAGCCTGCCCTCGGGGACGGCAGGAGTGTTTCGTCTCCACCTCCCGGAAGGGGGCTGTCCACAGCTCGGACATGGGGTTCTTCTGGGAGGGAGACGCCCCCGTACCTCTTAGGGGATCGCTTTGAGCGAGGAAGCCAGGGCCGCAGGGTGGAGACGACCGCAGAAGCCACATCATTCCTGGGGAGTCAAGAGAGAGTGGCTGGAACCTCATGTCCCCCCAACATCGGGGCTCCCTAGTCCATGCCCTGCTCTGCTGAGCAGCATCTCCCCCCACACCACTGGGCCCCCCGCGGCTCACCCAAGCCCTTTACACCAGGTTGACCTGGAGGGGTCGTCCTTCCTCACCCTGCTCCCCCTGTTACGGGTGGAATTGTGTCTCCAAAAACGCATGTCCAAGTCCCGACCCCTGGGCCCCCAGAAAGTGATTGTATTTGGGAATGGGGTCTTTGTAGATGGAACTAGTCGAGATGAGGTCAGACAAGAGTGGGGTGGGCTGAAATGCGGGTGGTGTCCGCAGGAGAATAGACACAGCGTCACTTAGAGACACAGCAGAAGCCACGTGGAGACTGAGGCAGAGGCTGGAGCGATGTGGCCACAAGCCCAGGGACACCTGGAGCCCCCAGAAGCTGGGAGAGACGGGAGGACCCTCCCCCGCAGCCTCTGGAGGGAGCTCGGATGTGCAGACATGTCGATTTTGGACTTCCGGCCTCCAGGATGACGACAGGAAAAACTCCTGTTTTTTTAAGCCCCCCCACTGTGTGGCCGCACACCCTGAAACTTCATTCCCCCCACGTGGCTGTGCAGAGAAACCCGGCACCCCTTTTCTGGGGGGCTCCAGGCTTCTCAACCCCCAAGGGTGCATTCCGAGGCCTGGACCCAGATATTTGTGCCCCAGCTGGAAACCGAGGGCCACTTTGGGAGCCCGGAGGGGAACAGGGAAGTGGATCTTGGCGGTGAGTCACCACCGTTAAAAATCTTGAGCAAACACAGCCACCAAGAAACCTGACAAACCAGCCCACCCGCATAGCGAAGGCACAGGCGTCCCTGTCCCCTCTTGCACCCGGTGCAAAAACAGCTCTAGTTCCTTCCTTTCCACACACGCCAAACACGCACATTTAGAAAAGGCAGACAAATTGAAAAAAAAAAAAAGAAAATTTTTAACACCTGTCATCTTACCAAGCAGAGACAGCCACCGTGGAATAGTTCGGTGTTTTTTCCTTCCCTCTGGCATTTGTTTTCATAACTGTTAATTTTATTATTAGTTACATATTTATTTTTATAAAACCGAGCGATCATCCTTCCTGAAGGTCTGAACATCTTGTTTGGTAATGTAGATTTTTTTTCCCTCCCTCTTTAAAGTGTATTATGGCTTGGCAATTCCTCAAAAAGCTAAACACAGAAGGACCATATGAGGCAGAAATTCCACTCCTGGGTACCTCCTGGAAGGGATTGAAAGCAGAGAATTAAACAGGCGCCGCACGCCCACCTTCCCAGCAGCACAAGAGTGGAAACAACCCAAGTGTCCACCGACACATGAGTGGACACACACAACGTGGCCCATCCACGCACTGGAGCGTCACTGAGCCAGGAAAAGGGACAAGGCTCTGACACAGGCCACAGTGTGGATGGACCTTGAGGACGTCGTGCTCAGTGAGAGATGCCAGACACAGAAGGACACACAGTGTGTGACTCCATTTATGTGAAATGTCCAGAACAGGCAAATCCAGAGAGATGGGACGTGGATTCGTGGCCGCCAGGGGCTGGGGAGGGGATGGGGGTGACTGCTGATGGGGACAGCTTCCTTTTATGGTGCTACTTAACTTTTCAAGGAGCTACCAGACTGTTTTCCGAAGTGGCCGCACCGTTTTACTCTCCCACCCGCGGCGTAGGAGGGTTCCACTTTCTCCACATTACACACTTGTCATTTTCCAATTTGTGTGTTTGTTTGATGGCCAGCCTAGTGGCTGTGAAGCCGTGTGACCTCACTGTGGCTTCGATTTGCATTTCCCTGGCTGACGGCATTTTTCCGTTCCCAGGACCTAGCAGTTTCTCCCTTGGGACGCCTGTCCCAGGAAGCTCAGCTCTCCCAGAAGCAAAGCCAGGACTTGAACCCAGGGCTTCAGAGAGACTTCTCTGCAGGCTTTGTTTTGAAAGAGCTGAGGGGATTCTAGGCAGGGCCCTGCTGCAGCGAGTTCTCCCGGGGCCTGGGCAGGTCCCAAACCTTATTAATAGAAGGTCCCTGGTGTGGGTCATTTGGTGATGTTGACATTGAGCTAATGCGAGAAGAAACTAAAATATGCAAACTCATTTCTCCTGGGCAGGAGCAAAATAGCAAAACAAAGGCCACCTATGACATCATCCACCCGAGCTCTTTCCTTCCGCCTCCCTCCTGGGCCCAGAAAGGGGCATCACCAGCACACTCTGCCTGGCGTGCGGGACACTGCGCCCACCCATAACCTCATCACGCCCCAGTCTGCGGGGCGAGACTGGCGGGTTCTGAGGGATCTGAGGCTTTCCCTCTGTCCCCACTAATCCTCTCACAAGATCTGTTGTCAGAGATAGTTCTAGATTTTTCCCTGATGTCGAAATTCTCTCCAAGAGTCACCTAGGCTAATTTTGTAAGAGGCGGTGGCGTCTGAGAGCGTCAGCTCTGGATGTCCACTGCCCAGATTCGAACACTTGCTGCTCTGCCGCTTCCCGGCTGTGCCTCAGTTTCCCTTCCTGTGAAATGGAAACGTAACAGAGACCCCAGCTCATGGGCTTATCGTGAGAATTATGCCAAGCGTTTGGGCCGGTGCCTGGATCCTGGGAAGGGCTGTCATTGTCATCTCTGTCATGGATGTCTGGCCACGACCGGCCACAGCAGGGCCCTTCCAGTCCCTACAAGATAAAACACCCCCACCCGACATCCCCAGGGGCCCTTGGGATGCGCCATTGACGTGTGTGAGAACTCTGAGGAGTGCCGGGCAGGGGGTGTGGGCGGCCGCCTTCCCTGTCCCTGCAAGGGCAGCAGCCCGATCTCGTTAGGGTGTCCACCCTCCTTGTCCTCAGGGAGAGGTGGCCCCGTTGCTGGGGTGACTCCCAGGCTAGGTCTTTTAATAGGAGAAGTGAGATCTTCTATGGCCATCCTCTCTCTGCTATGGTGACATTCAAGATGCAGGGGTGACATGCAGTGCCCCCATCGGCCAACAAGGTCACAGAGGGAGAGCAAGAAATAATCTTTCCCTGGTTTGCAGCGGTGTTTTAACTTTAATTTTTTTTTATTGTAGTAAAAGATACACAACAAAATTTACAATCTTAACTTTTAAGTCTACAGTTCAGTATTGTTAAGCACATTCACGCT